TCATTTGGTTCAGCTTAAGGCCACAATTCACTGGTAACTGACTGATCAACTAGGTTGCTGCCAGTTGCAATGATTCTCTGGTGTCCAGATGATTAATCAAGCTGTTGCAGTTTGTAGCCCACACATTTAGTCATCATAATTTAACTAATCCAGCAGAAACTTTTTTAATTTCCTCAAGCCTTCTTTCTACCTTTGCTCTTGCAATATGTCCTGTTTACCGGCAGTAACTTGGAGACACATGGACTTCAAGTGTTAACACAAACTTTTAAGCATGCTTATGACACCCCTGCTTTTCATTGGGTTTATTTGACATTTCCTATCTCATCTCCATTCCAGAGAAAGTATGTTCTGTATGCCTTGTGGTACTTCTACTTTACTGAAATTTTATTCCATATACAGCTTTTCCTCACTTAACAACAGAGTTCCATTCCTAAGACATGTCGGTAAACGAATTCGTCACTAAGCAAGGAGCATACTATAATGTTAGTGTGTTTGTGTCAACCATCTTTGATAATGTTTTCATGTCATCTCTGCACCATTTATAACATTTTTAGTATATTTTTAAATGTTTATACAGTAGTGTATTGTATAATGTAATAAATAGAATGGAGGAAATTATTCTAATATATATTATTTAGTTGTGCAACTGGTCAGAGCCCGTCATAAGTCCGAGTCATTGGTATATGAGTACGTCGCTAAGCGAGGGGAGGCTATATAGACATTAGATTACTTTATTTTCAACAGGCTGCCATGAAGTGACCCGTGACTCATCAATTACTGACCCCTCACAGATTGATGAGATATGTGCAACAATTTGGTATCTTCATTAAAAAGTTTTGCCTACACAGGTGACTTCTTCAATAACAAACTGCAGAAGCATTGAAGAGGCAAAGATGTGATCAGTAGCTTCTGAGATGGTCAGTCCCTTAGTCCTTCAAGGCTGATGGACTATCACATCATATTTACTACACAGCTTCTGCTGTTTCCTCTATTTGACTGAAGAAGCCTACCATAGAGGCAAAATGTTTTGAAAATAAAAATATCAAACTGTTTCACATGTGTCTTGCTCATCCACTTGTCAGTACTGTACACAATATAAATATATTTCACAGGGTTCTTATCTGGGCAATGAACATACTCATCAAAATGTAAACGTGAAGAAAAAAATCTATTACAAAAGCTTTCAAGTTTTTGCAGGAATGAAGCTTCAGCCATTTTGATGACATAACAGGCTATAATCAAAATACAGGAGGGCCCCGCATTTTTGGTGGTTTTTAACCGAGCCACTGTTCATTATGTTCAGTTATTTTTCTTCTGTTTTTGGCAACAGGTGTGTAAGGGAAGAGCGACGGGCATCATATTTTAAGGTAAGTATTGTATATTCTGTGTATTTGTTTTACTTCTGTATATATTTTTTATGCCTAGCTGTGTAGGTAAGATGCATAGGCAACAGTTAGGCAACTTTATTCCGAAACGTTCGCCTACACAGTATGCTTCTTCAGTCGAATACAGAAAGTAGGCAGGAACAGTAGAGATGTAAAGACGATGTAATCAGTCCATCACCCTTGAAGTCGTAGATTTGAGGTTGTCAGTCCCTCAGCCTGGAGAAGTTCAGTTCCATAGTCTGGAACTATCTGAAGATCAAGCGACAGTGCGGAGACTTAAATACGTACTGATGGACTGATTACATCGTCTTCACATCTCTACTGTTCCATGCCTACTTTCTGTATTCGACTGAAGAAGCCTACTGTGTAGGCGAAACGTTTCGAAATAAAGTTGTCTATCTATTGCCTATGTGTCTTACCTACCAACCTGTCGGTATTGTATACCATTTTGATATTCACCCTGTCAGACACTGCAACACAATGGCATCTTGGTACAGAAAATACCTTGGACAACTCTTTCAAGTGAGAATTGTTTGACCTGAGAGGGACATGACCTCTCAGTGGCTGCATTCTCACTACTACTACTTTGCACCTCTCCTTCTGACAGTATTTAAGTCTCCGCACTGTCGCTTGTTATTCAGATAGTTCCAGACAATGGAACTGAACCTCTCCAGGCTGAGGGACTGACAACCTCAAATCTACATCAAGGGTGATGGACTGATTACATCGTCTTCACATCTCTACTGTTCCTGCCTACTTTCTGTATTTGACTGAAGAAGCCTACAGTGTAGGCGAAAAGTTTCGGAATAAAGTTGCCTAACTGTTGCCTATGTGTCTTACTTACCAACCTGTCGGTATTATACAGTGGACCCCCGCATAGCGAACTTAATCCGTGCAAGAGGGCTGGTCGTTATGCGAAATGTTCGCTATGCGAATTAATTTTCCCCATAAGAAATAATGGAAATAAAATTAATCCGTGCAAGACACCCAAAAGTATGAAAAAAAATTTTTTTTACCACAAAAAAATGTTAATTTTAGTACACACAAACTGAAAAAGGCATGCACAATTACATGACACTTACTTTTATTGAAGATCTGGTGATGATTGATGGGATGGGAGGAGGGGATGAGAAGAGTGTTAGTGTTTAGAAGGGGAATCCCCTTCCATTAGGACTTGAGGTAGCAAGTCCTTTTCTGGGGTTACTTCCCTTCTTCTTTAATGCCACTAGGACCAGCTTCAGTCACTGGACTTCTTTCGCACAACATATCTGTCCATAGTGGCCTGTTACCTCTCGTTCCTTTATGATTTGTCTAAAGAGGTTCACAACAGTGTCATTGTAAACAGTCACCAGCACGGCTTGCAATAGCTGTGCGAGGGTGATTTTCATCAAAAAAGGTTTGCACTTCAAGCCATTTTGCACACATTTCCTTAATCTTTGAAGTAGGCAATTCCTTCAATTTCTCTCTTCCCCTCCTTGAACCAGTTTCCCCAGGTCTGGCCTCTTGCTCTTGAAGTTGATCTATCAGCTCATCAGTGTTAGTTCTTCATTGTCCTCCTCCACCAACTCTTCCACATCCTCCCCACTAACCTCCAACCCCAAGGACTTCCCAATTCCACAATTGATTCCTCAACTGGTATACTACTCCTCTCAGGGTTAGCCTCAAACCCTTCAAAATCCCTTTTGTCTACACATTCTGGCCACAGTTTCTTCCAAGCAGAGTTCAAGGTTCTCTTAGTCACTCCCTCCCAAGCCTTACCTATAAGGTTTACACAACTGAGGATATTAAAGTGATCCTTCCAAAACTCTTTTAGAGTCAATCCAGTGTCTGTGGTCACTTCAAAGCACTTTTGAAACAGAGCTTTTGTGTACAGTTTCTTGAAGTTGGAAATGACCTGCTGGTCCATGGGCTGCAGGAGAGGAGTGGTATTAGGAGGCAAAAACTTCACCTTAATGAAGCTCATGTCCCCATAAAGTCGCTCTGCCACGTCTGTAGGATGACCAGGGGCATTGTCTAACACCAGGAGGCACTTAAGGTCTAATTTCTTTTCAGTTAGGTAATCTTTCACATTGGGGGCAAATGCATGGTGTAACCAGTTATAGAAAAATTCCCTAGTGACCATGCCTTACTGTTTGCCCTCCACAGCACACACAAATTATCCTTGAGGACATTCTTTTGCCTGAACGCTCTGGGAGTTTCAGAGTGATACACTAATAAAGGCTTAACTTTGCAATCACCACTAGCATTGGCACACATCAACAAAGTAAGCCTGTCTTTCATAGGCTTATGTCCTGGGAGTGCCTTTTCCTCCTGAGTAATGTAGGTCCTGCTTGGCATTTTCTTCCAGAACAGGCCTGTTTCATCACAATTAAACTCTTGTTCAGGTTCCAGTCCTTCAGTTTTCTATGATACTCCTTGAATTCATGCACATATTTTTCAGCGCTTTGTGGTCCGAACTGGCACCCTCACCATGCCGTATCACACTATGGATGCCACTACGCTTCTTAAATCTCTCAAACCAACCTTTGCTGGCCTTAAATTCACTCACATCATCACTAGTTGCAGGCATTTTTTATTAAATCGTCATGCAACTTCCTAGCCTTTTCACATATGATCGCTTGAGAGACGCTATCTCCTGCTAGCTGTTTTTCATTTATCCACACCAATAAGAGTCTCTCAACATCTTCCATCACTTGCGATCTTTGTTTCGAAAACACAGTTAAACCTTTGGCAACAACAGCTTCCTTGATTGCCGTTTTTCTTGCCCACAATAGAAGCGATGGTTGATTTTGGTTTCTTGTACAACCTGACCAGGTCGGTGATACGTACTCCACTTTCATACTTATCAATGATCTCTTTCTTAATTTCAATGGGTATTCTTACCCTTTGAGGTGTAGGGTTGGCACTAGAAGCTTTCTTGGGGCCCATGGTCACTTATTTTCCACAAACAGCACCGAAAACACTGTAATAATACGAAGTATTCTGAGTGTATGCTTGAATGTTACTGCGGAGGCTGGCTGGTAAACAATGGGACGGGCGGCACATGTGAGGCTGGCTGAGGGCGCACATTGGACGCGTCTCGGACGAAGGTCGCTGAGCGGGTTTTTGTCCACTATGCGGGGCAAAATTTTAGCGAACAAAGCGTTCGCTATGCGGATTGTTCGCTATGCAAGGCGTTCGCTATGCGGGGGTCCACTGTATACCATTTTGATATTCATGCCTAGCTGTGTTGAGCACTTACATGAAGTATAATCATGTTAACAGGCATTTTAAGCTCATCTGATATTGAAAAAACTACTCCTTTCCATTTGCTGGCAATTTTTGCTTATAGCTGGGGGTTGGGAACCTAACAGCCGCAAAAGTGGGGCCTTCCTGTATATATCTACTCAATGGTAATTCCAGATGTCATTCCCTGTTAAAACATGGGGAAAAGAAGATGCAAACAAAAAATCTGAAGACGTGAGATTGCTACACCCTTAAGTTAAAATGAAGAAGTTAATGACAAAATGCACAGCCTATAAAAAACAGTGCATCTTTAGTTCTGAATACAATAATTAATGTGAAACAGAATAAGAAAGGGCAGATAATTTTCAATTTGATTAAATTATATCTCACCTTTCTGGCAATTGGCATCCGGTTGTAGACATTCCAGAGGACAATGCCTACCACAATGTTCTCTCTCAGGTAGAATATTATTCCCTTTCCATAGTCTTCACCCTTGAGAGGTGCATGAGGATCACTGGAGTGCATCAAGGAACTGGTATCAGCAACCTGAGGGGTAACAAAAATTGTGAAAATACTGTACTGAACAAGGAAATTCACATAGCACATATTACCAGCCATAAGTCACATTTTTTCTTAAGTAAATATACCCCAGACTTATATCCACAACCTTATGAGCACATACTACCCAAAAAAATACTTAATAATGGAAATGGAGAAAAGTGTGCAAGAACACAAGAACATAGGAGCACTGCAGTAGGTTTACTGGCCCATGCTTAGCAGGTCTCACACATATTTGTATAGGGTATGGTAGGGTTATTATTGAAAGAATTAAAGGTAAGCAGAAAGCAAGATTGCAGATGAGCAAGGAGGCTTTAGAATGGGTAGGGGATGTGTAGATCAAGTTTTTACATTGAAGCATATACGTGAACAGTATTTAGATAAAGGTAGGGAAGTTTTCACTGCATTTATGGATTTAGAAAAAGGCATATGATAAAGTGGATAGGGGAGCAATGTGGCAGATGTTGCAAGTGTATAGAATATGTAGTAGGATACTAAATGCTCAGGGTAGGGTGTGTAGGAGAGAAGATGATTACTTCCCAGTAAAAGTAGGTCTTAGACAGGGATATGTTATGTCACCATGGGTGTTTAACATATTTATAGATGGGGTTGCAAAAGAAGTAACTGCTAGGGTGTTGGGGAGAGGGGTGGGATTAAATTATGGGGAATCAAATACAAAATAGGAGTTGACACAGTTACTTTTTGCTGATACTGTGCTTTTGGGGGATTCTAAAAAAAAGTTGTAATGGTTAGTGGACGAGTTTTGGGGTGTGTGTAAAGGTAGAAAATTAAAAGTGAACATAGATAAGAGTAAGGCAATGACGGTATCAAGCGATTTAGATAAAGAAAAATTGGATGTCACATTGGAGGGAGGGAGTATGGAAGAAGTGAATGTTGACTTGTCAGCAGATGGGTTTATGAAGGATGAGGTTAACCATAGAATTGATGAAAGAAGAAAGGCGAGTGGTGCGTTGAGGTACCTGGAGAAAAAAACGTTATCCATGTAGGCAAAGAAGGGAATGTATGAGAGCATAGTGGTACCAACACTCTTATTATGGGAGTGAAGCATGGGTTGTAAATGCTGCAGCAAAGAGGCAGCTAGAGGCAGTGGAGATGTCATGTCTAAGGGCAATGTGCAGTGTAAATATTATGCAGAGAATACGTAGTGTGGAAATTAGGAGGAGGTGTGGAGTTACTAAAAGTATTAGTCAGAGGGCTGAAGAAGGGCTGTTGAGATGGTTTGATCATTCAGAGAGAATGGAACAAAGTAGAATGAGTTGGAGAGCATATAAATCTGTTGGGGAAGGAAGGGGGGTAAAGGTGGTTTTGTAGGTGAGGGGCTTTGACTTCTAATAAGCGTGCACGTGTATGTTAGATAGGAATGAATGGAGATGAATAGTTTCTGGGACCTGACGAGTTGTTGGAGTGTGAGCAGGGTAATATTTTGTGAAGGGATTCAGGGAAACCAGTTAGCCAGACTTGAGTCCTGGAAATGAGAAGTACAATGCCTGCGCTTAAAAGGAGGGGTTTGGAATAATGGCAGTCTGGAGGGATGTCTAAGCAGTCGTATCTGAGCGTCTCTGCGAAGACAGTGATTATATATGAGTGATGGCGAAAGTGTTGAATGACTATAAAAGTTTTTTCTTTCTTTTGGGTTTTTCTTTCTTTCTCGGTCACCCTGCCTTGGTGGAAAATGGATGTTAAAAAAAAAATTGTAGAACCTATTTTTAAAGCTACCCAGGTCTGTAAGAATGGAGAAACACTGCAGAAGCTAGGCATGTGAAATCCTACCCTTGTCACATATTCATCCAACCTATTTTCAAAGTTACACAAAGTTTGTGATTACTGTACTTGACAGACTGCTCCACTCAACTCTAATGTCTAACCAGTACTTACCTACATTCATTCTTATCCTTAATTTTTCATTCCAATCAATTATTCTGAGTTTTAGAAAGTCCTCAGTACCCTAACATCCTTTAGAGATACCCACTTTCACTTGTATACTTGAATCTGATTGCTGAGATTCACTAGTGGTATGCAGTTTTTTTTTTAACCAACTAAATACTTGGTAGCTTTAAAAATTAGGTTGGACAAATATGTTTGTGAAAAAGGGTTGGATTTGAGGGCTAGTGCAGTGCTCCTCCATTTTTATGGACCAGAACCATAACTAAAGTATGCTGCCATTTAACCACCGGTGATTTATATCCTTGGAATTACACTTCACGAATGTTAAACTAGCAAAAGTCTGAAACCAATTAAGAGTGGGAAGGAGGGAGAAGCAGAGGGAGGGGGGAAAAAAGCACACAGTTGAGCCATGTGCACTTAGCTATCAGAATCAAACTGATGCATGGTGTATATACAGCAAGTACTGTATTGATATACAGTATCCAGTTCACATTGCACTGCTGTCCTTGCTACTGGCAAGACACAGTCGCTCCTCACCAAGTAGTGTCCCTGCGATCCCCGTTGGGGAGGGGAACCTCTACCTCGCCGACTACCCATCTCAAGATGAGTTACTCTAACAGAGTAAAAATTAAACCCTCCGGTGGTTTGATCAATGACTCCACCAAGCTTGCCCTTGCTGTGGCTGTCAGGGGCTTGAACGTCACGATTAACACGATCTTTTCCCTCCAAGAATCCTTTATTGTCATCTGTGAGGACGACGTGGAGGCCGAGAAACTACTGACTACATCTGCCCTGACTACCCTAGAAGAACGTGGCTACAGAATCATGTCCTCTCCAGCCTTAAGGGCTAAGAGGACTGTCTTTCTGAAGCGATTGGACAAATTGATTACGTCTCAGACCATCAAAGACCTCAAAAAGTCTGTCGAAGACCAGAACCCTTGGGCCACCGTGGGAAGTATTACAAAGATTCCCACGGCCTCTTCAATGCTCAAGATCACCTTTACTGATGTCACGATGGCTTCCCAAGCTATGGCTAAGGGACTAGCCATCTACTACTTCATCAACGCCTGCCACATTGAAGCTGAACGTTACCACGTCACTCAATGCTGGACCTGTTTCTCATACCTCCACTCAACAAAAGATTGCCCCACCAAAGACAAGAAATTCTGTTCCACCTGTGGTACTGAGGGCCACGACTCCAGGACATGCACTTCCACCGCTACTCTCAAGTGTCTAAACTGCAAGAACAACCACCACACCCTCGCAGCAAAATGTCCTACCCGTTGTGAAATTATCAAAAAGAACATAGAAGCAGATCAGAAGTCTCCATCCAGATCACTGACGTATTCTGCTATCGCCAAAACTCCAGGCTGACACCACCAAACTCCTAAAAATGACCCAACTCTCCATTACCAGCACCACCACTCCTGCTTGTGATTCCACCAAAATACAGTACTGCCTGCTATATGCTCATATGCACAACATGGCTTCTCCAGGCTCCTTTAACACCACTATCAATGAACTTTTTTGACTGAATAACATGCCTGCATTCACTTTTCCCAACTCTCCACCCTCTGCTGACATCATCAAGATCACCCAAGCACCAGTCAACGTCACTACATCAGCAACCATAACGCAAGAGACATCAAACACCGTCACTGCCACTGACCTATCAGCGACCCCACAAGTTCTACCCGAAACCGCCTCGTACACTGCCACCGACCTTACCTCTCCACCTTCGTTCCAGTCACCACTAGCCAAGAAAGCCAAAGCATTGCCTCCAAAAACCCCACCACCTGCAGAAGAAATGGCTACTGAACCAACATTTCACTTCAGATCTACAACCCCAATTGCCATGTTTACATGCAACCCTGAATGGCTCCCTGTACGTGCTGCCCAAGCTATCTACAACATTGAGCATGGCGAGACCAAGTACACTCTCGCCTATGAGTGCGAACAAAGTGTAATAGATCCCTTATTCGAAGACCTGCACAAGGACACTACCAGCTACGTCCTTCAAACAAAAATATCCAGAACAGTATTCAAAAGAATCAAAAACGGTTCCTACACCAACTCAATAGTGTTTTAAAGGTTTAATCCACCACTAGACGTCTCCTCCCTCTCCAGCCCCGCCTCCCGCCGGTCTCCACTAATCACAAGCCAGAGTTTCACAACGCAGATCGGACGCAGCCAGCTACGCTCCTCGCCTCGCCCCTCAGTTTTCATTCAACCCCGCTGCAGTGCTGACATCCTCATCCTTCCCTCCATCCACCTAGCTGCTGGGTGAAGCCCTGGCTCTTTTTCTAAGACTAAGGACAATCCTCTCAAGACCTAGTCTTCCCCGCTCACCCCTTCACTGGGGTCTTGCCTGTATCTCGCTTGTATCCAGTTTCCTCTCATTTACACCCTGAAAATGAAGATAAGCAGAGGAAATACAAAATCTGAAATCTCTCGCAATTTGCACATACAGTATAGCTAATACACATAGTAACATAATAGGATGTGAAATACATATTTAAACCAAATGTTAAACCTTCAAATAATTTTTAAATACTGCATATGAATTTAAATGTAATTCTTTGAGTTGATTTATATGCTATATTACAACTGACTTGCCTGTTCTGTTTCAGATCTTAAACTTTCTCCAGTTGCTTCCACAACAGCTTTAGGTGTGTCTTTGGCAGTGGCCTTGGCAAAAACACCAACTGTAGGTAACGATGAATCAACAATGCCAATGGCTTCATAGCCTACTTCTGGACCTAAGTCAGACCAGAACATGGACTGATGCCAGTATGGCTTACCTGAAATTAGAAGAAATATAATTTCATGGACATCTGTTTTATAAGATAACTAATTCTCTTATGTAGAGCCCTCCTGAATTACACTCCTCGGTGCTAATATGACTCGCTTTTCAACTATGATTCAACCTGTCTCTATTCTGCTAAACAATCCATCATACATTATTTTTTAAAACCATTCATTCAATTTAGACATTTTTACAATGCACAGACATACTCGGCCAATACATAAAGGGTCTTTAACTCAATCTGTTACTTTTCAAATTTCCATACAATATCTGCTATTAGACACACTGGTATTTTTATTATGCATGAATGATGATGAAGGTTTTTTTCTTTCTTTCTGGGTCAGCTTGCTTAGGTGGGAAACGGCTGGCGTGTTAAAAAAAAAAAAATTAATTAAAAGGAAATCAGAATGAATGGTCTGAAAGCTTGAAAAAAAGGGTCAACTAAATTTCTCAATGTGATTTCAATATGATAACATAAAAGCAATCAATAATAGTTACACAAAAAATATACGTAATACCCAAATTTGCACTAAATGTTGGTACAGTACAGTGTCTATTTTCTCATTATATGTCTTAAAAAAAAAAATTACCATCCACTTCAACAAGAAGTCACTGACACTATATACATATATGACATTTGTGAGGCCTATCTGGGAGTATGCAACACCAGTATGGAATCCACATCTGATAAATCATGCCAAGATGAAAAAAGTACAAACGTTTGCAACAGGACTGGTCCTGAAGCTCAGAGGTACAAGTCATGAGGATAGGCTCCAAAAGCTAAACCTGATGACAGGACTAGGGGTGACATAATTAAAATGTACAATAAATTGAAAGGAAATGACAAGGTGAACAAGGCAAGTCTGTTAGAGGCAAGTCTTGGGTACAGGAAAACACAGCTGGAAGTTAAACACTAGATGAGTTATAGGGATGTTAGGAAATAGTTCTTTAGCCTAAAAGAGGTCAGGAAGTGGAACAACCTAAACAGCAAAGTGGTAGAGGTATGATCCAGGCATTGCTTTAAGAATTGGTAAGACAAAGCTCATGTAGCCAGGAGATAGGAAACCCAGTAGTGGCAAGTGGAGGGGCAGGGCCAGGAGCTGAGACTCAACCTTTGCAACCACAAATAGACAAACACAAACTCTAACCAACTGCCAGACTGTTTGCAAAAGTGAAATTCTTGGAATAACTTTAATGTCTAAATGGACATATGGCACATCAAAATGTATTGGGGTATCTTACCACTGCCAGTCATGTTCTCGCCAGCTAACCTTCCTGATACAATGGCATGGTCATGGTGCTCAACACGCCGACGACCAAGCTTGATATCAAAGAAGCAGGCAGCATCTCCAGCCTAGAATAGAAATAAGATTTTTAAGTAAAATCAAAATTTGTTAAGAGCCATTGAATCCAATTTTAGCTATACAGGTCAGCCATCACTAATCTGGCAATCAGTTATCCAGTTCCATCAGTAATCCGGCACTAATTTCAGCTAGCATAATTTCAAATTTCATCATTATACCGACTTGGAAATTGTGCAGATAGTTGTAAATCCACAGCAACAAGCCAGTGGAGAAGAAAGCAGTGATGAAAATGAAAATGTAACAGAAAGAATCTCCATTGATAGGTTAATTAACTCTTTGACTGTTTCGGTCGTATATATACGTCTTATGCGCCACTGTTTCGGACGTATTTATACGCGTAAATTCTAGCGGCTTCAAATCAAGCGGGAGAAAGCTGGTAGGCCTACATGAGAGAGAATGGGTCTGAGTGGTGGGTGTGCACCCTGTGAAAAAAAATCTGGGACTCAGTGGTGCACTGTGGGAATGCCATTTTGGTAGTCCATTTTCAACATGCCTCGCAGTAAGAAGTACCTCACTCTTCAGTGATGGAAGTGTCAGTGAAAGTGAATTCCATGGTTTTCAAGCGGGTGTAACTGAAAACAGTGCCCAGGATAACGTAATTAGTGTTGAAAACCCAGATGACCCACGACCTTCCACCTCTGGTGTTGGGCCGGTTCGTTCACGTTTACCTGTACCAGGTCGAAAGAGGAAACTATTTGCCCATGTACAAGACTCAGCAGTGAAAGTGATAGTGATTTCAAAGCTACTGAAAGCAGTTCTAGTTGTGACAGTGAGGATGAATATTCCCCAGTGAAGCGGCAGTATATACGACGTAGCATGAGGTCTGGTAGTGTCATATGCTGTTCCAAGGGGAAGGAGTAAATCTCGAAGCACATCCCCTGGCCCTACACCACGACATGATAGTGAAGATGACGATATTGTTACGATGGGTATGAATGATGCGAGTGAGGGCAGCAGGCCATGCTACTACCAACGCTGCTGACTCTGCACAACTACAACCAGCCTCACCCAACCCCACACTCCCACAACAACCACAACCACAACCTGCACAACCAAAACCACATTTCAATATTTAGAACCCACCAGCAGACCACATCTGGAATTGGCAGCAAGGTGACAATTTTATTCCCAATCCCCATGACTTTGATGAAACAAAAAGTGGAATATGGCCATCGTGTACACTTGGGAACAATGCCACTGAACTAGAATGCTTTCAGTTATTCTTTGATGAACCCCTGATGGACATTATTGTCAGGGAAACCAACACATACTATGAGTACACCATGGCAAATACAATTCTTTCACCAAGATCACAGCTACACCAGTTGAAGGACACAACTGTGGCAGAGATGTACCTGTTCTCTGCCACAATAATGCTTATGCCACATGTGTATAAGCACACTGTCACCACATACTGGTCAACAGAATGCCTGATTTCAACCCCAGGTTTTAGTGACATTATAGGTGTGAATCGTTTTTTGATACTGTTACGCATGTTACACTTTTCAGATGAAACAAGGCCTGACAGAAGCGACAGGTTATATACGATCAGAAATATGTTTATGTACCTGAAACAAAAGTGTTGCATGTATTTTTATCCCTTCAGGAAGCTTGTTATTGATGAGTCTTTGATTTTATTCAAAGGAAGACTCTCATTCAAGCAGTACTTACCAAGCAAGAGGAAACGCTTTGGTATAAAGTTACAGTGGTCCCTCGTTTACCGTCGTTAATCCGTTCCTGGAAGTGCGACGATTATCGAAATAGACGATTTTCAAATAAATTTTCCCCATAAGAAATAATGTAAATACAATTAATCTGTTCCTGACACCCAGAAGTATTAAAACAAAAAATTTTTTTTACATGAAATATAGATGTAGTACATAAACAATACAATGGGACATGATGAATGAAACATTAACAGCATAACACTTACCTTTATTGGCGATTCTTCTTAGTGTATGGAAGACTGGAGGAGGAGAGAGATTGGATTAGTTACTGTTTGGAAGAGGAATCCCCTTCCATCAACACCTCAGGTACCAAGTCCTTTTCTGGGGTTACATATTTCTCTTCTCTGTTTCTTAATGCCACTAGGACCAGCTTGAGAGTCACTGGAGTCCTGTCTTGCAAAAAAAGTGTCCAGAGAGCTCTGTTTCTGGCGTCTCTTTAAAACTTCCCTAAAATGGGCCAAGACTCTGTCACTGTACAAGTTGCCAATATGGCTTGCAACATCCTTCTCAGGGTGATGTTTCTCCACAAATCTTTCTATCCAACCCCACATTTCAAAAATTTCCTTAATTTCTGAAGAAGGCACTTTCTTCCATCTCTCTTCCTCCTCCTCTGCAGCAAGATTCTAAGCTGCAATCTGTTGCTGTTCCTGCTGAAGCTCTTGCAGCTCCTCAGTGGTTAGCTCTTTGTTGTGGTCCTCCACCAACTCTTCCACATCCTCCAAACTCACATCCAACCCCATGGAACTCCCCAATGCCACAATAGATTTCACAAATGACATAGGCTCATCAGGGTCAGCCACAAACCCTTCAAAATCCCTCTTGTGGATACAATCTGGCCACAATTTTCTCCAAGCAACAACAGCTTCCTTGATTTCCTTTTTCTTTGCCATGATGGAAGATATGGTTGTATAGGGTTTGTTACACATCATGGCCAGTTCGGCCATACGTATGCCACTTTCATATTGTTCAATGATGTTTTTCTTAAATTCAATCGTATTTCTCAGCTTCTTTACCAAAGGCTTGGCACTAGGAGCTTTCTTTGGAGCCATGGTAGCTTATTTAGCACATGCAAGCACTAAAATGAATGGAATATTATGAAATATTTCGTATGAACAAGTAAGGGGACTGTCGCTCACTGGTAAACAATGGCACACTGGCTGGGAAGGGAGGCTGAGGCAGCTCAGAGCCGTGAGTACGCGTCCAGGACGAACGACGATTAGCGAGTCAACCGACCATTTGCGAGCCAATGTCTGGACGAAAATAACGCGACGATTTCCGAAAAGGATGACTATCGAGCCCGACGATTATCGAGGGACCACTGTATTTGTACTGTGTGATTGCAAAAGTGGTCTCGTTTTGGATATCACTGTGTACACTGGCAGTAATACATTGAAAGATACCAGGAAGTTATTGGGTATCTCTGGTGATGTGGTTCGAACAATGATGGAACCATATCTTGGCAAGGGGCATATATTATATATTGATAACTGGTACACAAGCCCCATACTCAGTGATTTCTTGCGAGTGAACATGACAGACGTGTGTGGCACAGTGCGTGGTAATCGTAAGCATATGCCAAGGTGCGACACTTGCACTCACAGAGGTGAGGTGCAGGCCTTTGCTGCCAATGACATCATGGCATTTCGGAGGCCTGACAAACGTGATGTCACATTGTTGACATCAGTTCACCGAAACAAAATGGCACACACTGGCAGGCACAAAAGAGAGGCCAATGAACCCATTCTAAAACCTGCAGCTGTCATGGACTACAACCAAATCTTTCAATGGGCTGCAGAAAACAATATGAAGTTCAACGATGAGAAACTTCAATTACTCCGATATGGTAGACACGAGGAAATCAAAACTTCATCAGAGTACAAAACAAATTCCGGCCACAAAATAGAGCGAAAAACAAACGTCAAAGACCTGGGAGTGATCATGTCAGAGGATCTCACCTTCAAGGACCATAACATTATATCAATTGCAGCTGCTAGAAAAATGACAGGATGGATAATGAGAACCTTCAAAACTAGGGATGCCAAGCCCATGATGACACTCTTCAGATCGCTTGTTCTATCTAGGCTGGAATATTGCTGCACACTAACAGCACCTTTCAAGGCAGGTGAAATTGCTGACCTAGAAAATGTACAGAGAATCTTCACAGCGCGCATAACGGAGATAAAACACCTCAATTACTGGGAGCGCTTAAGTTCCTGAACCTGTATTCCCTGGAACGCAGGCGGGAGAGATACATGATTATATACACCTGGAAAATCCTAGAGGGACTAGTACTGAACTTGCACACGAAAATCACTCACAACGAAAGCAAAAGACTTGGCAGACGATGCAATATCCCCCCAATGAAAAGCAGGGGTGTCACTAGCACGTTAAGAGACAATACAATAAGTGTCAGGGGCCCGAGTCTGTTCAACTGCCTCCTAGCATACATAAGGGGGATTACGAATAGACCTCTGGCAGTCTTCAAGCTGGCACTGGACAAGCACCTAAAGTTGGTACCTGACCAGCCGGGCTGTGGCTCGTACGTTGGATTGCGTGCAGCCAGCAGTAACAGCCTGGTTGATCAGGCTCTGATCCACCAGGAGGCCTGGTCACAGACCGGGCAGCCGGGGCGTTGACCCTCGGAACTCTCTCTAGGTAAACAACCTCAATATGCGCTTAGTGAACAAATGTGACATGCAGATTGGGTTTGCTGATTGTGTACGCAAGAATTATAAGTGGTGTGTAAACAAGTTTTATACACAATCTAATAGTGATAATGTTTGTTCACTTATTGTGTTGTAAACAATGAGTGTATATTTGAACAATGCACCTTACTCTGGTCTCACAGGCCACGTAAGTTACTTAGAAAAGAAAAATATTGGAAAATACAAGAAATCTTCGAATTGGAGTAAATAAAAGAATACTGGGTGGGCGGCATTCGCCGCTGTTGCCATACGCCGCTCATTTTCTGCCAACTTTGCGCCTCTATATCTCGGTACTGATGGCAAAAATTTTTTTTTTAGTCTTAAAACACTCAGTAAAATAATCCTAACATTTGGCAAGAAAAATAATTTTTTTTTCCGAATATTTTGCGATATAGAATGACAGTTTCAGAAAGGGGCCTGTGATAGTCAAAGGGTTAAGTGTATTCTAACCTAACCACTCTGTAATCTGGCACACCACAGGTCCCAATGATGCCGGATTAGTGATGGCATATTACTCACAAATGACATAAATGGGAAAAAATACCAAAATGATATATAGAAGGGAGAGTGTTAAGGATAAATATTACATCAAATATGGTTACAACTAAGAAACAAAGTGGTGAAGAATGAAGCCATAAGAAAGACCAAATCATGGAATCAATTTTCTAAAGAAATGCATAGAGAACAGAAAAACTATATTTTCCTAAGTGCACAAATGTTATGATATGAAAATGGCAGATGCAATGTGGTTAAGTGAAAAGTTCTAATCTTCAGGAATGTAAGTAACCATGGCACTTATAAACAATAATAATGGACAATTCTGTACCTCATGGACTTTATACATGGTTTCCAAACCAAGTAATCCAGGAGATTTTATCCTGTATTTTCAAAAATTTATTACATTGAGACTTCACTGTATTGCACTGGACATAACTGAAATGCTACTTACACTTTGCACCGAGTGTTCTGTGTGATGTTGCCATGGTTGTTTAACATATTTATAGATGGGGTTATAAAAAGTAAATGCTAGGGTGTTGTGGAGAGGGGTGGGATTAAATTATGGGGAATCAAATACAAAATGGGAGTTGACACAGTTAGTTTTTCTTAATGATACTGTGCTTTTGGGGGATTCTAAAGAAAAGTTGCAATGGTTAGAGGACAAGTTTGGGAGGGTGTGTAAAGGTAGAAAGTTGAAAGTGAACATAGATAAGAGTAAGGTGATGAGGGCATCAAACGATTTAGATAAAGGAAAATTGGGTATCATATTGGAGGGAGGGAGTATGGAAAAAGTGAATGTTTTCAGATATTTGAGAGTTGACTTATCAGCCGATGGGTTTATGAAGGATGAGTTTAACCCTTAAACGGTCCAAAGGTATATATACATTTTTTCAACATCTGAAAGTATGTAAAAAAAGGTAGATCTTTTTTTTTTTGTTTTACATTCGAAAACATGTAAAAAACTTTTATATACATTATTTTTTTGTTATATTTGAAAATATGTAAAAAAAAAATAGATCTACTTTTGTAGCACTATGAATTTGAACGTCGATCTGTTTGGACCGTTTAAGGGTTAACCACAGAATTGAAGGAAAAATTATGAGTCGTGTGTTGAGGTACATGTTCAGACAAAGAACGTGATCCACAGAGACAAATAAGGGAATGTACGAGAGTATGGTGGTACCAACACTAATATGGGTGTGAAGCACGGGTTGTAAATGCTGCAGCAAGGAGGTGGCTGGAGGTAGCAGAGATGTTGTGTCAAAGGGCAATGTGTGGTGTGAATATTATGCAGAGAATTCGTAGTGTGGAAATTAGGATGTGTGGAGTTACTAAGAGTATTAGTCAGAGAACTGAAGAGGGGCTGTTGAGGTGGTTTGGTCATTTAGAGAGAATGGAACAAAGTAGAATAACTTGGAGTGTGTATAAATCTATAGGGAAAGGAAGACAGAATTGGGGTTGTCCCCAAAAAGGTCGGAGGGAGGGGGTAAAGGTGGTTTTGTGGACGAGGGGCTTAGACTTCTAGTAAGTGTGCATGAGCGTGTTAGATAGGAGTGAGTAGAGATGAGTGGTTTTTGGGACCTGATGAGCTGTTGGAGTGTGAGCAGGGTAATATTTTGTGAAGGGATTCAGGGAAACCAGTTAGCCGGACTTGAGTCCTGGAAATGGGAAGTACAATGCCTGCACTTTAAAAGGAGGGGTTTTGGGACGGTGGCAGTTTGGAGGGATGTCTAAGCTGTCGTACCTGAGCGCCTCTGCAAAGACAGTGATTATGTATGAGTGATGATGAAAGTGTTGAATGATGATGAATTTTTTTTCTTTCTTTTTTGGGGTTTTTCTTTCTTTTTGGGTAACCCTGCCTCAGTGGGAAACGACCGATGTGTTAAAAAAAAAAAAAAAAAATTTGGGTCAGGGTAGTTGATTGTGGATGAATGATGGCATGGATGGTACACCCCCTTTCTCCAACAGGTAAAATCATGCAGTATTCTAGTTCCCTTAGAGAAATTGAAAAAAAGCTGCACACTACTAGCATCCCTGGATGTAAGATTTAGTTGAGTATCATTCTTAAACTATCAAGGTGATGAAAGACATTAGAAAATGTTTTTGCTCTGCCATGATCTTTATGACAGTTCAGAGGTGAATGTATCATAGCACTTACCACCCATAGATTAGACCGTGCTTCTAACTCAGCATTGACTCTGAAACCTCCATGTGTGTCATCAATTTCTAGGCCTGATGACTGTGCTAATTCCACATTTGGTTCGAGGCCAACTGCTACAACAACATGGTCTGTCACAATCTGGAATGTTTTTAAAAGATAGAGAAATATATTTAAAGAATGTTTAAGTCAATTTAAATTCTCTGAGAATCTAAGAAGCTCTTAAAATTATGTCGAACCAACCTTTGCAACTTGTCTTCATAATTTTTCTAAAGAACTCTTATCAGCAAAGACCAACTGTGATAATTCCCACGTGTGCCAGATGCATCTTTTAATCCCTCACCTCTTCCCAACACCCTAGCATTCATCTCTTTTACAACCGCATTTATAAATTATGTTGAATAACCATGGTGACATCCCTCTCCTGTGTGCATCCTACTTTCACTGGGAAATAGTCCCCTCCCTTCCTCCTAGCCTGAGCCTTACTCTGCATAAACACACTTAACTGGTTTTAGTAACCTACCTTCTATGCCACACTTCTGTAACATCTGCCTCATGGCTTAGCTATCTACACTGTCATATGCCTTTTCTGAATACAATAAACAACTCTTTACCCTTTTCAAAGTACTGCTCATTTTTATTTTTCATGTAAACACTTGCTATACACATCCCTTACCCTTCGAAAATCCTCCGTTTCTCTGTAATCCTACTTCTTCAATGCATGAAGTCACTGCTTCCCCTTCATCATTAAACTTTCAACAACTCATCAAAACAGCCTCTTCATCTTTCCAGTACTGCCACTTCCCCATCTAACATTTCCACATACATATCCACTTAATTGAAAAAAGAGTTCATTTATATTTGTCAATGGTTAGTAAAAACAATCTAAATATATGTCTACTGGTAGGTACGTGGAATTCATTGTACGAACAAATATATAAGGAGTTTAACTAGATGTTAAATGCGTCATGAGACTGATATATGTCAGCTTCTATTCTCTACTTTTAAGAGATTTGGTGTAATGAATTTGTCCTTGTGGTTTTCCCATTTTTCATGTCCCTAACCCTTTTTTTTTCAGGTATTCTTCCTTACATTTGACTTAAGTGAATGTTACTCATTGTGGTCTATTTCTTATCTGAGCAACTCAGATAACTGAGGGATTGCTTTAACAATTCTCCCAACAAAATATTAGAAATGGTTTATCATTATCAATATTTAGGTATAATGTATATACAATTTGTAGACCAAGCTAATACCAAATTGTGCATTTTAAGCACAAATGAGCAATGTATCACTGTTTCCCCAATAGCTCCAGCACACTAACACTGTGTATTACATTTTATATGCTCTTATATACATTAGCCAGACTTGAGTCCTAGAGATGGGAAGTACAGTGCCATTTAGCAAAACAGTGAGTGTGAATGATGGCAAAAGTGTTTCTTTTTCTGGCTACCCTGCCGTGGTAGGGGACTACAGATGAGTATAGATGGAGTGTTGAAAACTAAAAATACATTAAGCAGGGTATGTTTAAAAAATAGAAGCACTTTACATTGGCTATCTTACTAATAAAAATATCTGACCAGTTCAGATAATCAGTCTTACTGTACCAAATGTTATACTTTTCAAATTCAATGTGTATTTGCCAATATTCCAAAACAAGGATAAATTAACAAGCACTATGCCTAAATGTGAAAAAAATTATTATACAATACAAATGGTAACAAAAATCCTTACCTCCTTTCCAGTGTTAAGTTTGAGTTTTACTTTCTCATCTTTTGCTGACTTGACTTCCTCAACAAATGAGTTGGGGATAATTTCTACCCCTTCAGACTTTACTTTTTCTGTAGTCCATTTAGAGAGGTATTCAGGCAGGACTCGACCCATGTTGCCTGCCTCGGGATATATCTGCGTTACTGAGCCACTAGTTGCCTTTACTGTGTAAACCCAGAGTAAAAACATAAAAAGTGAAATAACCCAAACAAAATAATTATCCTCTTATTTATTTTCACTCACTGCAAATTCAGCCAGATCATTCTTTATCCCTCTACAGTAATATTCTACTTCATTATTACTGCAAACATACCGAAGAATTACTGCATATAAAATTAATCTAATTCCAATCATATTTCCCAAAAGCGGGGCAGTAACCATCCTGTCAAGCCTTACTCTGACAACACTTCTTTTTCTTTCTATCTCAAACTCTTAGTTTATTATCTGTACCTCCTTTAACAAAAAGAAATGGAATGGATCATACACAAAGCTAATTATCTCATGAATGTGAATAAAAAGTGAAACAAGAATCAGTGTAAGTATTTCAATAAATACATTACAATACTTACATTTATAACCTAAAGCACATGCCAGCTCTGAGCCTAAGAAACCACCTCCAATAATAGTGATGTGTTTTCCTTGCTGTGCCACATTGTGAAGTCGCTGGAAGTCACTAACAGAACGGAACAAAGTTACATTCTTCAGTATATCTTCTCCAGCATTATCAAATACTGGCAGAGATTTAGGAGTTCCACCTAGATATCGAAATATTTAATTAAAAGATATAGAGACAAAAATATGAATCATCTTACTTGCATTAATACATTTCATACAGCACACAACTTTCTAATAAGTGCAATACACTTCAATTAAAACCATATGAAGCAAGTTACTTTTGTTATTATATCTAACTTAGAAAATCTTTTCTAGCTTTGGTATCATGACTTTTATTCAGTAATTCAGCACTGGTATTATTTTTTTATACCAGATCATATATATAAAAGTGAGAAGCACATATGCTACACTTGCTAAGTCTAAAATAGCTTTCAAATACATGTATATTGATAGAGAACACTGAAAAAGTCAGTTACAACATATATTAGACCAAAATTGGAATATGCAGCTACTGTGTGGTCACCACATCAATGAAAACACACATGGATAAGATAAAAAAAAAAAGTCTAAAATGCAAGAAACTGAATCATAGAGCAAAATAACTGGAGTTATGATGAAAGCTTGAAAACACTAAAGATGCTCACAGTGGCTGATAGTATGAAAATAGGATACAGCATATAAGGTTATAAAAGAATGTCACTGCTGTATAATTATAAAAGAAAACGAAAGAACAGAAGTTATTTTTTAAGCACTTTCAATAGGAATAATAAGACATCTCAGATGTAAAATTAAGAATAATAACGTAAGTGAACAGTTAATTTGAAATTCTTCTTTATAATATTGGGAGAATGGAATGAAAGGGGAGACAGCGGTGGGAGAACGGAATGAGAGAGGAGATAGCAAATGTTAAAACCAGTGAAAATGTAAGAGAAAATTACGTATATGATGAATATAATAATGAAAACAAGAAAGCACAAGCATAACTGTGTGCTTGTAGCTATATATAGGTAATTACTTTATTACAAAGCAACCTTAATGGAGCACGAAGCAAATGAAAATATTTTTACTGGCCTGCAAAAAATAATTTATGCACATACGTCTCTCCCAGTTCCCAATGTAACTATATGTATGTATGTTGTGTTGCTAAAGGATTATACCTAAAATTCTGGGGAACTGGTTAGCCAGACTTGGGCCCTGAAGGTGGGAGGTACAGTGCCTACACTCTGAAGGGGTGGAGGATGTTGCAGTTCAGAAGGTGACTGAATGAATGACGGCATAACCTTCTCTTCCAGATCGAGCTTCCTCAGTGGGAGAAGGATGGTTTTAACAAACTTACCTGTAGCAATAAGGCACTTGTCATATGAGACTTCACTCCCATCATCTATGAAGGCACGTTTCTTATGCACATCCAGCTTCACAACTTTGCGACCTTTTACAATAGAGATGCCACCATTCTCCCTTGTTGCTAACTCTTTAACTGGGGTGTAGTACTCTTCATGCTCAAAGTATATACTGAAACCATAGAAAACTTCATTATGTATAGTTACTACTCAGTTCTGAAGTCTAAGGCAAAATTTATTTGGTTTATTATTTAATATTGAATAACAACTGTGTGTGTTTTGGTCGCTGCACAATCTGAAAAAAAAAAAAAGTTATTCCTCCCACCATACCCTAACTCCATCCTATGTACATCAGTTTAAGAAAGAGGCATAGGAGTTGTCCTTCAAAATCTCAAGATGCAGAGCTGTTGATCAATAGGTCAATTTCCATAAGAGAGCTAAGAGTCATAGCTTAACCCTCCCAAGAGATCCAGGAGGTAGAGATAACCTAAAAGAGGCCTAGTTTCGAAGTGATTACGATTCATAAAAACTGATGGACTGAACACCTATCATGGATGAGGTATTTTCACCTCTAACTCTTACATGTTTTCCACTATCTCCTCAATTGTTCTCTGTATACAACTGATAAAGCTGCAGTTGGTAAAAGTGTTTCCACAATAAAGATACCCAAGGACTGCACATGTCTATGTTAATTATTATAATGATTATGCAATTTTAACATGTTACACCTAAGCCTGTAGGGGTCTTGCAGGGCAAGGAGTGGAGGAGGATCAAGCCTTAGTGAGATGCTACCTAAATGCAATTGTGGAACTACACATCTATAAATGGCAGATATGTGAGAATTTACCATATTAAATAATTTCCACTAAATGGCAGCAGCTTTTAAAGCACAATACTGTACAGTGGGAAGAGGTGTAGGAATAAAAGATAAAGAATCTGATATAAAGCGGGAATTGTCACAGCTGCTTTTTACTGATGACATGGTGTTTTTGGGAGATTCTGAAGAGAAGTTGCAGAGGTTGGTGAACAAATTTGGGAGGGTATGTAAAAGAAGGAAATTATAAGTGAACATAGGAAAGAACAAGGTGATGAGAGTAACAAAACGTTTAGATAATGAAACATTGGATATCAGACTGGAAGGAGGAAGTATGGAGGAAGTGAATGTCTTCAGATATTTGGGAGTGTATTTATCAGCAGAGGGGTCTATGAAAGATGAAGCAAACCACAGAACTGATTAGGGTATAAAGGTGGATGGTGCAATGAGGTATCTATGGAGACAGAGAACATTCTCCATGGAGGAAAAGTGGATTACAGTGGACCCCCGAGTTTTGGCAGCCTCGACTTTTGCGAAATTCGACCTTCGGCGAGTTTTTTTTTTTTGGAAAAATTTGGCCTCGAGTTTCGTGAAAAAACTCGTGTTTTGGCGACCGTCCGGTACCCGTCCACCCGTCACCGCGCACATAAAGCCAGTCTCCCACGCCATTCACGCTCAGTGTGCCATTGTTTACCAACACGTGACCATCACCCTGCGGGTTCATGCATTACATTTCATAATAATCCATTGTTTTTTGTGCTTGCAACTGCTAAATAAGTCATCATGGACCCAAGGAAAGCTAGTGCAAGCCCTTTGGTAAATAAAGTGAGTGACGGGGATGTGGAAGAGTTGGTGGAGGACCACAGGGAAGAGCTAACCACTAACGAACTTCAAGAGCTTCAACTGGAACAGCATCACACCACAGCCGAGGAACTTGCTTCAGAGGAGGAGGAAGAGGGAGTTGATGAGGTGCCTTCTTCAGTGATTAAGGACATATGTGGAATGTGGAATGAGTTGCAAAGTTTTGTTGAAAAGTATCACCCTGACCAAGCTGAAACAAGCCGTATCTGCAACATGTACAATGACAGTTTTGTGTCCCACTTCAGGGAAATCTTAAAGAAACACCAGAAAAAGACCTCTCTGGATAGACATTTTGTGCGCCAGGGGTCCAGTGACTCTCAAGTTGTTCCCAGTGGCATTAAAAGAAGAAGGGAAGTAACCCCAGATAAGGACTTGCTACCTAAAGTCCTAATGGAAGGAGATTCTCCTTCCAAACAACAGTGTACACCTTCCTCTTATCCCCTCCTCCCATCTTCCATCCACACACAAGTCTTCAGTAAAGGTAAGTGTAATGTTATTATTATTTATTTTAAATGCATGTACTTGATTTCTGATTGTTTTCATCAGGTAAATCTTTATTTAATTTGAAAAAAAAAAAAAATTATTTTAATATTTTTGGGTGTCTGGAACGGATTAATTTATTTCCACTATTTCTTATGGGGAAAATGGTTTCGAGTTTCGTGAATTTTGAGTTTCGTGAATTTCGACCTTCGGCGGGCTCTCTGGAACGGATTAATCATGAAACTTGGGGGGTCCACTGTATACAGTGGTATCAACACTATTATATGGATGCGAAGCATGGTTTTGAACACTGCAGTGAAGAGGAGGCTAGAGGCGGTGGAGATTTCATGTCAGAGGGTAATATATGTGGTGTCAATATTATGCAGAGAATTTGTAGTTTGGAGATTAGAAGGTGTGAGGTTGCTAAGAGTATTATCCAGAGAGCTGAGAAGTTATTGAGGTGGTTTGGAAATTTAGAGAGGATGGAGCAAAACAGAATGACTTGGAGGGTGAATAAATCTGAAGCGAAAGAAAGGAAGGGTAGGGGTTATCTTTAGGAAAGGTTGGAGGGAGTGGGTAAAGGAGGAGTGGAGGCAATTGTTTTTTATGACACGATGAGCTGTTGCAGTGTGAGCAAGTTAACATTTATTAAGGAAAAAAGGGAAACCAATTAGCTGGACTTGAGTCTTGGAGGTAGGAGGTACAGTGCTTACACACTAAAGGACGGGTGGGGGATAATGCAGTTTGGAGGGGCATCTGAGCTCTCATGCCGATGCACCTCTGGCAAGACACTGATGGAACAAGTGATGGTGAAAATGTTCTCTTCTTTTTTGGGTCACCTGCCTTGGTGGGAGACAGCCAGTGTGTTTAAAGTTTTTTTGCAAACTGCCCTACCAAGATTATTAGTAGGACACATCTAAAATGCAAACTACTGTCTTACCTTCTTTCTTTGCCATTCCACTGCTTGAAACGTAATTTGTTGGTAGCTTCAATGTCATCACTGTACCATAATTCCTTGCTAAGAGGTGGCCTCATATAGGGATTTTCACCTTCTCCCGATATCACCAGAACCTGAAATTAAGCATTGAGTATTCTACAGCCGTTTCCAAAATGCATATAGCAATCTCATACATAGTATATTTCACACACAAATCACACTGAAAAAAAAAAGGACTTAAAATATTTGGAAAGATTCTAAAAAATAAATTTAATCAAATTATATATTACACTGTAAATTTTACAACTCATCTCACTCACACAAAACTTAGTACATATATCATGCTTCCAATTGCACCAATGTGCAGAGATAATTTTTCGTGGTAAAGTGTTGTTTCATAGCTAACCTTGGCCTTAGCATCCTTGGCTTTAATGGCTCTGAAAGCAGCAACAGAAGAGGTACCAGCACCAATAATTAAGTAAGGAACGTGTTCAGGAATGTCAGATACCTTCCCTGTCGAAAGAAACTATACTGATAAACAAGACAAGACTTACTATATAGATAAGGATAAAAAAAGCAGGAAATTATTTTATTTAACCTGGAATAGGAGATACGCTAAATACAAATTTTAAGCACATTAATGAGATTTTTTATAATTGCTAAATCACTGCACTAAATAAAAAGAACTTTATAATATTGAAGAAGGGATTATTAATGCAGAAAAGTATTTTATTTAAGGATGAGATGGTAATGTAAAATTATCAAGAGGATGACTATTATATAAATGTAACTGTTAAGAGTCACACAGACAACATTAGCCAATTCTAAAAATGCTTCACAGTATATGGACAGAAACATGTTAAAGTAAATTGTCTACTACTTATGTAAAACACAAATTAGTATAGGCAGCTGTCACACGATGCCTGCATTTAACCCTTTCATGGTTACACCCCTGCCCCTTTTCCGCCATAAGAAAATCTCTACAGAATTTTTCAATAATTGATAAACTCTAATATTTTTAATTGTGTTATCCTTGGTTATGATCATGATGTCACAGTTGTATGCCTATACATTTTTTTTATAAACACATTGGCCATTTCCCACCAGGGTAGGGTGGCCCGAAAAAGAAAAACGTTCACCATCATTCACTCCATCACTGTCTTGCCAGAGGCGCACTTACACTACAGTTATAAAAGTACAACATTAACACCCCTCCTTCAGTGTGCAGGCGTTGTATGTCTCATCCCCAGGACTCAAGTCCAGCCTGCCGGTTTCCCTGAATCCCTCCCTAAATATTACCCTGCTCATACTCCAACAGCTGTAACTATGTAAATTCTTTATATGAACTTTTTTCTTGTAAACACATCGGCCATCTCCAACTGAGGTAACGTGGGAGATGCCAAACTACAATGCAGGCACTGTACAGCCTACCTCCAGGACTCGAGTCTGGCTAACTGGTTTCTCTAATCCCTTCATAAATGTTACCTTGATCACAGTTCAACAGTACATCAAGTCATAAAAACTATCTGACTCCATTCATTCCTATCTAACATGCTTACACATGCCTGCTGGATTTTAAAAGCTATGATTCCTTATTACAGTTTTTGTGATACATCTGCACTGATGACTAAGCTAGATAATATACTGTAAGCAGCATCAATAAGGCTTAAATTTTATTCTCATCAAATGTCACTTAAATATGAAAACAAGATAAGAAATGTTGCGCAACTGCTTTTGATTATGGACACCTTGTGGTTTTACAGAAAATAACTTTATGGTTGCCAATGTTTTGAAAATTCTCATAATGCACAGGTGTCTAATTTATCCATTTATCTACATTCTTGTCAGACACAGCAACATTTTGGAATCTTGATACAGGGAATTCTACACTTGTCTAATCTATACATATGACCTACTTCCACCTGTGGATTTGGCCAAGGTGACACCACTCACGACTGCTTCACCTCACCTGTCTACGGTATATGAGCAGTCCTTTCATACATATGATGTATTATTTTCAAGATTGGTGGATTGATCACGTCAACTCCAGGCTGAGGGAATGATTACCTCAAACTCCTTCTGACTTTCCACCATTCAACTTTGTACTGGACTGATCTGTGTAGCGAAATGTTTCCACAATAAAGATACCCAAGTGTTGCAAGTGTCTCGTTTATCAAACTTGTCGGTTCTCTGAACCCTTTATCTACATGCTCACTGAAGTGTTTTCTGCTGACGTACCTTTCGTGCATCATTAAATCTTTCAACAAACTGGCCATATCCCACAGAGGCAAGGTGACCCAAAAACAAAAATGAAAGTTTCTCTTTTTAAAAATGCAAAACAAAAACATGAAGCAGTGATTTTTTGCAGCTGCAATGAGGCTAAGACAAGTTAAAAGAACCAATACAATACTTTTGGAATTGAATTTTTAATGGTTTACTAAGATCGTGGTCCATTTGTTAGAAACGTATATACAGTGGTACCTCGGGATATGAACTTATTTTGTTCCAGAAGGCTGTTCAAGTGCTGATACCAAACAAATTTGTTGCCATAAGGAATAATGTAAATTAGATTAATCTGTTTCAGACCCCCAAAAATACACTTACAAAAGCACTTACATAAATATACTTACATAATTGTTCGCATTTTGTGCTGTTCGTATCCCGAGGTACCACTGTACTTCCTAGCTGTTATACCATTTGACCTCATTTGCAAAATCTGTGTAAACCACATCTACATTTCTTTTTCCTCCAACACTTCTGGTTTTGTCAGTGGTATAACTGTCGGTGTGGGTCCTTTATCGTTAAGCATATAAACATACTCCCATTGTAGTCTTCTTTGATTTACTAGTTATAAAGAGGTATAAACAGAGCCCTAGGTCCTACCACTTTTTAGTACACCATTGAAGGTCTTCAAGATGCAAAGTTGGTGCTACATGGTGCTAAAGTATACCTGGAATATACCTAGAGGGTGTGCTGCAGCCTGGTCCATGACCAAACCTCCATGTGCCAAAGTAAAATAATATTTTGCATTTCCTTATACAGTGGACCCCCGGTTAATATTTTTTCATTCCAGAAGTATGTTCAGGTGCCAGTACTGACCGAATTTGTTCCCATAAGGAATACTGTAAAGTAGATTAGTCCATTTCAGACCCCCAAACATACACGTACAAACGCACTTACATAAATACACTTACATAATTGGTCGCATTGGGAGGTGATCGTTAAGCGGGGGTCCACTGTATATACAACATTCCAAAATTCAAGCTCTGGTGCTAAGTGAATGATCATGTAATTTTTTCTTTATAAAGTGTACAGTGGAACCTCGGTACTCGAACAATTCGGTGATGGAACACTTTGTTCGGTAAACAAATTGCTCGGTAGTTGACCAAACAAACATGACCTGCCAGAATTTGGCTGTAAACTATTATGCGTTTCTTCACAATTTTTTTCATATTATGTATTTGTATAAATAAGTCACCATGGGCCCTAAGAGGGTTACTGATAACAGCAAACCAAAAAGAAAATTGACTGCAAAAAATCTGTTCTGTACTCGAACAGCATTCTGGAACCAAGCCGAGGTTCCACTGCATTAGATTTGTACTAATATCAGACAATTCCTAGCGGAGTTGGAGTTTATGAAAATTCAATCTGGGTTGTCCTCTAACACATTTGTACTGTTCTTAGATTTTACTCATTTTTATGTGCTGTAATCATCACTCAATGTATGGTGTGTACCTCCTGTAAGTAGAGGATTTAATAGCTGAATTTTTTAAATATGATTTTTACAGGTTTGAAAAGATTTGGGGATTTAACTAATTTTCAAATTGACCTTTTTTGTTCTTTATTAGTTGAATTTAACGAAAATCCCTCACAACAAATATTAATTTGGGTTGCAGCTTATCATATGGTATTAATTTGTTTGTGTACAGTGGAACCTTAGTTTTTGTGACTAACCCTTAAACTGTCCAAACGTAGATCTATGTTCACGTGTGTTGTGCTCCGACCTTGATTTTCCCCATTTGAAAGCATATAAAAAAAAACGTAGATCTACGTTCGGAGCCCCCTGCACGTGGATGTAGATCTATGTTTGGACAGTTTAAGGGTTAATTCATTCCAGAAAGTCTGACAAACACCGAAATGTACAAAAACCGAGGCAATATTTCTCAGAAGAAATAATGTAAATCCAATTAATCTGTTCCAGACACCCAAAAATATTAACAAAAAAATACATTTTATAGAGAGTAACTATAGTTTTACATACAGAAAACAATGAGAAATAAATATAAATGACTAATGAAATGGATAAATGAACATTTAACATCACTTTTACCTTTGCTAAAGACTCTTGTTGGCGTATGGAAGACGGTGAGGAGGGGAGAGGGAGGAGAGGTTGTTTGGAAGGGTTATCCCCTTCCATAAGGACTTCAGGTATCAAGGCCCTATCCAGGGTTACTTCCGTTCTTTGTCTTTTACTGGCACTAGGACCAGCTTGAGTCACTATACCCTGTCGCACAAAAAATCTGTTCAGAGGTCCGTTTCTGGTGTCTCTAAGATATGCCTAAAATGGGACAAGGCATTGTCATTCAACATTCAACATAGGGTGATATTTCTCCACAAAACTTTGCAACTCACTCCACTTTGCACACATGTCCTTAATCACTGAAGAAGGCACATTCTCCCCTCACTCTTCCTCCTCCTCTGACGCAATTTCCTCAGCTGCGATCTGTTGCTGTTCCAGTTGAAGGTGTTGCAGCTCTTCAGTGGTAAGGTAAGGTCTTCCCTGTGGTTGTCCACCAACTCTTCCACATTCTGACCACTCACATCCAACCCCCATGGACTTCCCCAAAGACGCAACAGATTCCACAACAGGCATAGGGTTGTCAGGGTCAGCCTCAAACCCTTCAAAATCCTTGTCCTGGACACATTCTGGCCACAATTTCTCCAGGCAAAGTTAGTCATCCTGGAAGTCACTTCCTGCCAAGCCTTATGTATAAGGCTTATGCAATTGAGGATACTGAAGTGATTCTTCCAGAACTCTCTTACAGTCAATTCAGTGTCCGAGGTCACTTCAAAGCACCTTTTAAACACTGCTTTGGTGTAGAGTTTTTTGAAGTTTGAAATGACCTGCTGGTCCATGGGCTAGATGAGAGGAGTGGTATTAGGGGGCAAGAACTTCACTGTGAAAAAACTAAACTCCTCCAACAACTGGTCTTCTAAGTCTGGAGGATGAGCAGGAGCATTGTCCATTACCAGGAGGCACTCGAGTGGCAACTGATTTTCCAGGAGGTATTTCTTCACACCCGGCCAAACACTTTACTGACCCACTCAATGAAAATTTGCCTCGTGACCCATGCCTTATTGTTAAACTTCCACATCACACACAATTTACTCTTGATGACACTGTTTTTCTTGAACACTCTGAGAATTTCAGAGTAATACACCAGTAAAGGCTTCACTTTGAAATCCCCACTAGCATTACCACAGAACAAAAGTGTTAGCCTATCCATCATAGGTTATGTCCTGGCAGTGCCTTTTCCTCCTGCGTGATGTAGGTCCTCTTTGGCATTTCTTCCAAAAGAGGCCTGTTTTGTTACAAATGAAGACTTGCTGGGGGTGGAATCCTTCAGCCTCTACATACTCCTTGAATTCATCAACAATTTCTTCGGCTACACGTTTGTTTGAATTTGCAGCCTCGCCAAACCTTAACACACTGTGTATGCCAGATCGCTTCTTGAATCTGTTGAACCAGCCTCTGCTGGCCTTAAATTCATGAACAGCAGCACTCGTTCCAGGCATTTTCTTTACAAGATCCGCATGCAACTGCCTTGCCTTTTCGCAAATTATCGACTCCCAAAGCACTATCTCCCGCTAACTGTTTTTCGTTGATCCACACCAACAACAACTTTTCAACATCTTCGATTGTTTGCGATCTGTTTCATTAGCATATTTATCCCTTTAGCAACACCAGCTTCCTTGATTTCTTTTTTCTTTGCCAGGATGGAACTAATCATTGATGCGGATTTCCCTTACAACCTGGTGAGACCGGCCACCCATATGCCACTATCATACTTAGCTACGACTTCTTTTTTGAATTCTATAGTGTTTTTTACCTTCTTTATCAAAGGGCTGGCACTCGGAACTTTCTTTGGCCCCATGGTGGCTTATTTAGTAGTCACACTCAATAAACAAGCACAAAAAAACAATAGATTATTACGAAATGTTTCAGCTGAACATGCAGGGTGATGCCCACTCAATGATAAACAAAGGCAGACTGAATCACTTAGCACTTGAGTGGCTGAGTGACGCGGGTGGGCAGGCAGATGCGATTGGTATGGACCATCATCAACTCTACGAAAACCGAGGTGATGTACAAAAACTGGAACAAAATTTTGATGGAAAAAGTTGTCGAAGAGTACAGGAGGGCCCTGCATTTCTCGCTCCATCTTCTTTTGGCAGTTATAAATTAAGCAACTGTTCATTATGTTCAGGGCTTTCCTTCGCAACAGTTGTGTAAGGGAAGGATGACCGGCGCCATATTTTAAGGTAAGTATTATTTGTACTGTGTGTTTATTTTACTTGTGTATCTTTTTTTATGCCTAACTGTATTGACCCCTTAATACAGTGGACCACCACCTTACGATATTAATCCGTTCCTGAGAGCTCATCATAAGCAGAAATTATCGTAAGGCGAATTAATTTTTGCCATAAGAAATAATGGAAATCAAATTAATCCGTGCAAGACACCCCAAAGTATGAAAAAAAAAAATTTTTTACATGAAATATTAATTTTAATACACACAAACTGAAGAAGATATGCACAGTTACTACTCTACTAAGAATAGAATACATGACACTTACTTTTATTGAAGATCTGGTGATGATTGATGGGATGGGAGGAGGGGTGTGTGTGGAAGTTATTGTTTAGAAGGGGAATCCCTTTCCATTAGGACTTGAGGTAGCAAGTCCTTTTCCGGGGTTACTTCCGTTCTTCTTTTAATGCCACTAGGACCACCTTGAGAGTCACTGGGCCTCTGTCGCACAACAAATCTGTCCACAGAGGTCTGTACCTCCCATTCCTTTAACCCTTTGACTGTCGCAGGCCCCTTTCTGAAACTGTCATTCTGTGTCGCAAAATTTTTGAGGGAAAAAAAAAAAAAAAAAAAAAAAAAAAAAAAAAAAACTTATGAAATGCTAGAGAACCTTTTCCCGATGGTAATGACACCAAAAGTTCGAAAGTTGGTCAAAAACACTACCGCGAAGTTAGCAGTCCCGGCGACATATATGTATCGGCGATTTCGCCGACTTTGAGCCCTGTTTTTAGCCAATTCCGTTGTTCCAGTTGACCAAACTCAAAGCTATTTCTTTAGAACTCCATTTTATCTATCAGTTGAGTACAAGAAACCACCCATTTACCGATTTGAACTACCCAATAAAGCGGTCAAAAATTGGCAATTTGGCCAATTTCACGCAAATAAAAAAAGATGCCAATTTCAAAATAGGGTCCAGAATAAACAAGGTAGACATTCTTGGCACTAAAGTAACATATCCTCTGTTCATTAGTCACATCATAGGCCCCTCGTATATTACTATTGCTTTCTATTTTGATTTTTTATTCATACAAAAAAATACAAAATTTACTGGTATGCAGACTACTGCATTATTTTAAAAATGGTATAAATAATATCAGTGCACTAGTGAAAGAATATTAGACTCCCCAGTTGACGTGTATTGGACGTGTGGTGTGATTTGCTTACTCCTGAACATTGGTAAAAATCGAACATTTCCGCTACTTTGAGCTCAGTTTCAAGGTTGTTTTCATCGTGAAAGTAATGAAAACCATCTCCATTTCTTTAATATGTTTTCCATTTTATCACCTAAGACCATGAAAACGAGAATACAATGATAAATACTATAAGAAAATACACCTCAAAGTCGGCGTTTTAATCCAAAAAAAATGGTCAGTGTTTTTTTTTCTCATTACGCACTGTGTGCTGCAGGACTTTTTTTATGTGGTGCACACTGACCACACAGGCTCATTCTCTCACATGTGGGCCTACCAGGTTTCTCCTGCTTGATTTGAAGCCGCTAGAATTTATGAGTATATATACGTCAGAAACAGTGGCGCGTAAGACGTATTTATATGGCGTAAACAGTCAAAGGGTTAAAATTTGCCTAAAATGGGCCACAACACTGTCTTTGTAATAGTCACCAGCACAGCTTGCAATAGCTGTGTTAGGGTGATCATCCATAAAGGTTTGCACTTCAACCCACTTTGCACACATTTCCTTAATCTTTGAAGTAGGAACAATGGATTCCACAACTGGCATAGGCTTCTCAGGGTTAGCCCCAAACCCTTCAAAATCTTTCTTAATTTCCATACTAATTCTCACCCTTTTTACCACAGGGTTGGCACTAGAAGCTTTTTTGGGGCCCATGGTGACTTATTTTGCAGTTACAAGCACAAAAAACACTGGGATAAGGTGAAATGTACCAAATGTATGCGTGGATGCGACTGCACTGGCTGGCTTGTAAACACTGGCACCCACGGGGCAGCTGAGGCCACATGTGGGACACGTCCTGGATGAATCACGTAAGGCGAGTCAAAACTTTTGCGTTCAGATGCTTCGTATGGCGGATTTAACTTAAGGCGATGCGTTTGTAAGGCGGGGGGTCCACTGTATATGATAGTGTAAATAAGTTATCAGGCATTTTAGATGCATTCGGTATTGAAAAGCTATTCTCCTACTTGTCGGCAATTTTCGCCTATTGGCAGGGAACCTAACAGTCACAAAAACAAGGCCCTCCTGTACACACAAATTTAGATTGTTTTATAGTTCTCTGGTATGTACCTTTTGATCTGGTGTGTTTCCAGGATGCTTTTAAGAAATGTCTAACACCCACTGTTATACACTGAAATTTTTTTATTAATGAATCTAAAGTTGTCCCTTCACACATGCTTCCACATCATTGTTATTTTGATGCATAAAACCACAACCATGCTTTAATATCACCAAGTAGTATTCAAGTCAACACAGCAAAATCTAAGGACCAATAAGACAGGAAAATACTTTTTTATGCCATGCTGTTTATTTAAAACTTATAACTTTGGTACTACCCGAAGTCTACCTGGAGGGTATTCCAGGGATCAACACTCCTGTGACCCAGTCCATGACCAGGTCTCCTGGGAATGTTTATAGCCTTAATATATAGGCCATGCTCCATTGTATGAGCAATAGCTGCATGTGTTAGTATTTTAAGCATTTATGCTCTTTAAAACTACAAGAGCAGGCAGTTAATATAAAACATGGATTGTCCAACCTTCAAGCTTACTTGACTCTACTGTGAGATTCCCAGTAACTATTTCAAATCCCATAGGAGCAGGTGTTACAGATGTTGGTTCTGCTCTGACATCTGTCTTAAGAATGCATTCCTGCTCAGCTACAGAAGTCTCAACCAATAGCTCTGGTTCAGCTACAGGAGCCTGAACCACAAGCTCTGGTTCAGCTACAGGAGTTTCGATCAAAAGCTTTGGTTCAGCTACAGGAGTTTCGATCAAAAGCTTTGGTTCAACTACAGAAGTCTCAACCAGAAGCTTTGGCTCAGCTACTGAATGCTCTACCAAAGTCTCAGATTCAGTTATACAAAGGTCAGCTGTCTTGACAAGTTCAGCCTCAACTGAGTTTGGTGGCTCTTCAACCACAGGTTCTACCAACACAGTCCCATTACCAATCACATACGAAGACTGTTCCTGAGTCTGTTGTGGTATTGACTGTTTCTCTAACAGCATCGGGACTGTCTCTGATAACACTGAAGGTTCCTCTTCAGGACTATTTTCGGGTACTGGCAAGATGATTTTGACAATGTGAACACTGAATATCTAAAAGAATTTTATGGAATGAGATAACTATAATTCTAACCTAAAGTAGTAAAAAACTATGAGTATGTTAGCCTCTAATTTATTGGCAAGTTTTCAGTATCTTTTATATTCAAATTTCCAGGTTAATGTCTACAAATGTCAGGCATTATTGTAATCTAAATTATGAATAATATAGTAGCATGACTATGGAGATTAGGAAAAAATCTTGTCTATATACTACAACTAAAATTTATGGCAAATATCCTAAAGCCAATTAATGCACACACATCTTCACCACTAAAATTAATTTGTTATTTAAAGAATATTACAATTTGACTAGTCACATTATCAAAACCTGTAAACATTAATACCTATAGTACTATACACAATTCTGTATTCTTTTTAAATCATTTACAAATACAATATTAACAAGCACTACAGTATGTATTTTCCATGCCATAGTTCTTAAGACTATATTATTAAATGCTATTAGTCTCGAATATTACTACTTTTTTTTAGCACTGAGCATTTTCCATCAAGGCAGGGCCACTCACAGAAGAAAAATCACATTCACCATTAATCATTTCCTAGCTATCTTTCCAGAAAAGCACTGACAACACAATTCTAATGATCCACCAAAATGCATCATCATCAATCATCCTTCAAAATGCTGACACAATACAGTATATTTGGCTAACCAGTTTCCTTGAATCTCTTCATAAATGCTTCTTTGCTTACACTTCAACAGCATGTATCCAACTTTCTAGCATTAACTTCTTTTACCACCCCATCTATACAAATACATATAAAAACCCTTTACAGCTTTTAACTTACCATCTGTTCAGTACCATTGCCAGTGTCTCCACATTCCCCTGTCAACCTATTGTATGAATTTTTAAAATCCACAAATTCAACATGCAGCACCTTATACTTCAGTGTTGCTCTAAATATTGCACAAATTTGAACACACGATTCACAAATCTGCTTATCCTCCTAATCTTCTTGCATCTGCAATTCTACTTTCTCTTTTCCCATCAACTCTTGATAATTTTACTGTACTCTTCACCTGGCATGCTCAATTTCAAGACTTGCTAGTAATATTTGCACTCTCTTCTACTTTCTTTTTGTTCCTTATACAAAGAAACTATGCATGCTCTCTGTACTTTCTCAGCTTTCATACAAAGTTAAGCAAATGATCAACCACAGTGCTCCAAAACTACGTCCCCTCCTGCTTTTGGCATCTCAGGTCATAATCTCATTTGTTTCTGCTGTTTTAATCCCTTCCCAACCTGCTCAGTCCCATCTATTTCTACATTCACCTGTAGCTTCTGCCTCCTAATAAAGCCAATGAAATCTTTGTCTCCCTTCCATCCAGATTTAACAACATGAAATACTCTCTAAAATACCTCTACTTCCCAATCTAATATCTCACCACTTTTATTTTAAGCTACAAAAACCAACGATACATTGTAATGACTTGCCCATTCTTTCATTTGCTCAGCCTTTTCATTCACTCACAATTTTTTCCTTGTATCATTTTTATATTGCAAAACCCTTTCATTTTCTAACTTCTCTTCTTTACTACTCATGTCTCAACATTCCTGAATCCTCCTCCTCCTCGAACCTCTCTCTTTTAAAGTGCAGGCATTGTACTTCCCACCTCCAGGACTCAAGTCTGGCTAACCAGTTTCCTTGAACCCCTTCACAAAATATTACCCTGCTCACACTAACAGCTCATCAGGTCCCAAAAGCCATTCATCTCCATTCACTCCTATCTAACATACTCACACTATCTAACATACTCACACTTGCCTGCTCCAACTCCTCCTCCCCTCCACTACAGATTTATACACCCTCCAAGTCAACCTATTTCGCTCCATCCTCTCTGTATGACCAAACCATCTCAATAGTTCTTCTTTAACTTTTATCCACCATTATATGGTTTAGCAAACTGCTTTCACTGCACAATTAATCTTACCTCGTATATTTATTCTTTTCTTAAAAGATGCACTATATTGTCTATCATTAAAAAATATTTAAAATACAATTCATTTCAACTTTCCCAAATATCTTTTTTTCCTTGGTATATTAACCCTTTCACTGTCGGGATCCCCAAAATTAAGTGCTGACACTGACAAGATTTTTTGAAGACAGCGACACCAAAAATATGAAATTTCATGTAAAGTTTACAGAATTACGCAGGCACAAAGTTGGTGGTCTGGGCATTATTTACATACCAGGAATTTTGTCCAATTTAACCCTTTCAGGGTCCCCAGGCCCTCTCCGAGACTTGTTCTCAGGGCCCCCAAATTAAAAAAAAAAATAAAATTGATTTTTTCTTGTGAAAATCAGACAGAGAATCTTTTCCCGATCATAATGACACCAAAAGTATGAAATTTGATGGAAAACTTACGGAATTATGCTCTCGCGAAGTTAGCGGTCTCGACGATGTTTATGCATCGGTGATTTTGCCCACTTTGAGCCCTATTTTCGGCCAATTCCAGTGTACTAGTCGACAGAAGTCATAACTATTTTGCTAGAACTTCATTTTTTCTATCGAATGAGTACAAGAAACCACCCATTTACTGATTTCAACTATCCAATAAAGTGGTCAGAATTTAGCAATTTTGCCAATTTCACACATATTTCAAGATGCCAATTTCCAAATAGGGTCCAGAATAAACAAGAAAGACATTCTTGGCAATAAAATAACAAGTTCTCTGTTCATTAGTCACATCCCCAGGTCCCTCTTATATTTCTTTGGCTTTCCACTTTGAATTTTTATTCTTACAAAAAATAGAAGATTTACTGTTATGCAGACTACTGCATTAGTGTAGAAATGGTATAAATAATATCAATGCACTTGTGAAAGAATATTAGACTCACCAGTTGACGTGTATTGAACGCTTGGCATGATTTGTTTACTTTTGAACTTTGATAAAAATCGAACATTTCTGCTACTTTGAGCTCAATTTCAAGGTACTTTTCATTGTAAAACCAGTCAAAATCATCTCGATTTCTGTAATATTTCTTCCATTCTATAAAATGAAACCAGGAAAACTAGAATACAACAATAAATACCATATGAAAATACAGTGCAGTCGCTGTTTTAATCCAAAAACACGGCCAAAGTTTTTTTTTTCTCATTACGCAGTGTGTGCTGCAGGATTTTTTTATACTGAGCACACTGACCACATAGACCCATTCTTTCATATGTAGGCCTACCAGCTTTCTCTCACTAGATTTGAGGGCACTAGAATTTAGGCGTAATAGTACGTCAAAAACCCTGGGGGGTAAGCCGTACTAGTTCGGCTGAAACCCTGAAAGGGTTGAGTCCCATTTTAAGAAAATTTCATTGCTCAATTTTACCAAATTCATAGCTAAACTTCTAGTATGCCTTCTATTTTATTATATGAGCACAAGAAACTGCCCATTCAATTGTCAGAACTATCCTATAAAGTGCAGAGGTAAGCAAGTTGGCCAATTTTACACAAAATTCAACAAATTCCAATTTAAAAGCAGATTCCAAAATAAACACTATGTCATTAACGACATCCCTAAGCTTCTCCTATATTACAGTCGCCCTCTAATTTGAATCCATCATCACACACACACAAAAGAAAAAAAAAAACAAAAAACAAAGCTGTACTGTATTTCTCGAGTAATAATACATAACCAGGAATGATTGGTCATGGTTTAGGGAGCCCCAAAAATTATAACACACCTAATAAAACCCTATAAAATAAACCAAGAAGTATTGGAGAGGGCCTTATCCTTAATCAGGTAAAAAAAAAAAAAAATGTCCAAGATCAAATATTTCCATTATTTTGAGCCCAGTTCAAGCTTCTTTTGGGCCTAAAACCAACCAAAATCACCTATTTCAGTAGCATGTCTTCCACTCAATCAAGTGATACCTAACAGCTATTTAAACCATAAAAAAAACATCCTGAACATTGCCTCAAAGTTGCTTTTTTAAACCAAACATAAGGTCTGAGGTATGCCTTTCCCATCAAGCACTGCATGGGGCAGGATTTTCTTTTATACTGTGCATGTTCACTGCATATCTGTGGGTGCTGTGTTTAAAATGTAGATCAAGAATGTAGATCTACACAAGTGACAGCAAAGGGGTTAAATTTTCCTATTATATTCTTTACAAGAGTACCTCACTTTAGCAAAAAGGTATCCCAAATCAATTCTTTTACTTGGTTCAAAATCCAATAAATATTCACTTATTACTGCCAAGATAATCTTGTTCTTTCATTTATTTATTCGTTTACACACACATTCATTTATTCTCTTTCATTTCTGGGTGTATAGAAATTATAACCCACTTTTACTACAAACCACACTTTTTTTTTTCCAAAATTACTGAGTTATAATAACTTCTACTCCATTGGCTAACTTTTTCAGATACACCTCGCTGAATTCATGTTACTTCTCTCCATTCACATACTCAGATTGTTGATCTTTTTTAAAAATATTTTTCAACACATCAGCAGTCTCCTGTCAAGGCAGGGTGACCTAAAGAAAGAAACACATTCATTGATTCATTGTCATTTATTCAATTTCTGTCTTGCCAGATATATGATGTCACAATTCAGTGTAACCTTTGACTAACATCCCCACCTCTCACAGTTTGGGGTTACCAAAAGCAGAATTAGGAGGCCAAGGAGGGGTTACTGAGGTGATTTGGGCATTTAGAGAGGGTGGAGCAGCATAGGATTAAAATGGTACAGTATATACATATATGGGGTGGAAGAAAGGATGGGTAGGGGTCATCGCAAGAAGGGTTGGAGAGGGTTAAACGAGGTTCTGAGTGTTAGGAGCTTAAACATCCACCAGACCTGTGTTAGCATATTAGGTCAGAGTTGAGACTAAGTGGTATTGATGAACTGATAAGCTGTTGGAGTGTAAGTTAACATCTACGAAAGATTTCTGGGAAACCAGTTAGCTGGACTTTGAGTTCCAGAGGTAGGAAATGCAGTGCCTGCAATCTAAGGAAAGGGTTTAGGATGCTGCAGTTTGCAGGCTCCTCTGAATTCAGATGATCCTACAGACTGCAGCCACTATGGATGTTAAAAAAAAAAAAAGCATTTTTCCCTTTCATGTACAGTTACCTTTGAAAGGTATACAACTCTACTTACTACGTAGTTACTGAAACTGGCTTCATTTCTAGCCAATTTGATGCTGTCATGGGCCAAGGATGAACCCACCAGGAAAGGACAGAAACGTATTTTAGGGAAGGAGAGTAAAGATATTTACAGTAACTTTTATTGTTCCACACTACACTATGAAGCACTGGAACTGGTTCAATCTGATGACAATGAAACAGTGAATGTGTGAGAGTAACATTATTCATGTGTAACAAGAATGTCAATCTCAAAACACTTGTTTGTCAACAGTGTAAAATATGGTTTAACAGTACCAAAACCACGTACAGTGTACCCTCCGTTTTCGTTTATCTCTGTTATTGTCGTTTTCGGTTTTGGCCGACTTTTTTCATTGAATTTTTGGTTCTGTTTTCGTAGATTACCTCCATTTTCGCCGGTCATACGAAACCTGTCCAGTGCCCAGTGCACAGACAAAGCTGCCTCCCACACCATTCTCAGCCAGCGTAGCGTTGTTTCTCGGTGAGTGAACATATTCTGCCAGGTCATATGAAACATTTCGAAATAATCCACTGCTTTTGCCACTTGCTTATTGTGTGTGACTGCTAAATAAGCGACCATGGCCCCAAAGAAAGCTCCTAGTGCCAGTGCTTTAGTAAAGAAAGTGAGGAACACCATAGAACTGAAAAAAGAAATCCTAAGAAAGTAAGATAGTGGCATACGCATTGCTGAACTCGGCAGGATGTCACCATCAGCAATCAGCTCCAATGTGGCAGAGAGAGAAAAGAAATCATGGAAGCTGATGGTGCGAAAGGGGTGAATGCGATAACCAAACAGAGATCCCAAACAATTGAAGAAGTGGAGAAATTGTTGTTGGTGTAGATCAGAGAGAGAGAGCTAGCAGGAGATAGTGTTGTGTAGTCTATAATTTGTGAAAAGGCAAGGCAGTTGCATGACAATCTCAAAGAAACTGCCTGAAACAAGTGCTGATGTAGGTGAATTTAAGGCCAGCAAAGGCTGGTTTGAAAAATTCAAGAAGCAAAGTGGCATACACAGTGTTGTAAGGCACGGTGAGGGTGCCAGTTCAGACAAGCAAGCGGATGAAAAATTTGAGCGGAAATTCAAATGTTATGTAGAGGCTGAAAAATTCCAACCCCAACAAGTGTTCATTTGTGATGAAACAGGCCTATTTTGGAAGAATATGTCTAAGAGGACCTACATTATGCAGGAGGAAAAGGCACTCCCAGGATACAAGCCTATGTAAGACAGGCTAACTCTCTTGTTGTGTGGTAATGCTAGTGGGGATTTCAAAGTGAAGCCTTTACTGGTGCATCGTTCTGAAAATCCCAGTGTTCAAGAAAAACAGTGTTGTCAAGAGTAAACTGTGTTGTGATGTGGAAGGCTAACAGTGGGGCATGGGTCACAAGGGAAATTTTCCTGGAATGGTTTAATGAAGTGTTTGGCCCAAGTGTGAAGAAATACTTCCTGGATAATAAATTGCCACTCCAGTGCCTCCTGTTAATGGACAACGCTTCTGCTCATCCTCCAGACTTGGAAGACCAATTGTCTAAGGAATTCACTTTTGTAACATGGACCAGCAGATCACTGCAAACTTCAAAAAACTGTACACTAAAACAATGTTTCAAAGGTACTCTGACATAACCTTGGACTCTCAACTGACCCTAAGAGAGTTCTGGAAGACTCACTTCAATATCTTCCACTGCATAGGCCTTATAAATAAGGCTTGGCAGGGAGTGACTTCCAGGATGATGAACTCTCCTTGGGGAAAACTGTGGCCAGATTGTGTCCAAAAGAAGTGTTTGAGGCTGACCCTGTCAACCCTACACCTGTTGTGCAATCAATTGTGGCATTGGGTAATTCCATGGGGTTGGACGCGAGTGGCCAGGATGTGGAAGAGTTAGTGGAGGACTACAATGAAGAGCTAACCACTGATGAGCTGCAAGAGCTTCATCTGCAACAGCAATAGACCACAGCTGAGGAAACTGCTTCAGAGGAGGAGTAAGAGAGATGGAAGAAGGTGCCTTCTTCAAAGATTAAGGAGATCTGTGCAATGTGGACTAAAGTGCATTCATTTGTGGAGGAACATCACCCTGAGAAAGCTGTTGCAATCCATGTTGGTGACTTTTACAATGACAATGCCATGTCCCATTTTAGGCAAATCTTAGAGATGCCAGAAACAAACCTATCTGGACAGATATTTTGTGAGACAGGGGTCCAGTGACTCTCAAGCTGGTCCAAGTGGCATTAAAAAACAAAGCAGGGAAGTGACCCCAGATAAGGACTTGGTACCTAGTCTCCTTATGGTAGGGGATTTCCCTTCCAAAGAATAACCTCTCTCCCCTCTCCCCTCCTCGCTGTCTTCCTTCCAGCAACAACAGCCTTCAATAAAGGTAAGTGTCTATGTGTAATGTTCATTCTTTTGTGCTTGTAACTATCTTTAAGGTAAAAAAATTTTTTTGTTGATATTGCTGGATGTCTGGAACGGATAAATTCCATTTACATTATTTCTTACAGGGAAAATGGTTTTGGTTTTGGCCAATGGCTCTGGAACAGATTAAACACGAAAACCGAGGGTCCACTGTAATTTTATTTAACCCTTTGACTGTTTTGGTCGTATACATATGTCTTATGAGCCACCGTGTTTGACGTATATATACTCAAAAATTCTAGCAGCTTCAAATCAAGCAGGAGAAACCTGGTAGGCCCACATGTGAGAGAATGGGTCTGTGTGGTAAGTGTGCACCATATAAAAAAAAATCCTGCAGCATGCAGTGCATGAGAAAAAAAACTGACCGTTTTTTGGGATTAAAACACAGACTTTGTGGTGTATTTTCGTACAGTATTTATGGTTGTATTCTCGTTTTCTTGGTCTCATTTGATAGAATGAAAAACATATTATAGAAATAGAGGTGATTTTGATTGGTTTTACTATGAAAAGAAACTTGAGATGGAGCTCAAAGTAGGGGAAATGTTTGATGTTCAAAAGCAAACAAATGATGTCATTGTCCAATAAATGTCCAACTAGCCATTCTAATATGAAGTCACAAATGGGTTGAAATTATTTACACAATTATTACAATATTGCAGTAGTCTGCATAACAGTAAATCTTCTATTTTTTGTTTGAATAAAAATTCAAAAGAGTAATATCAGAGGGCTGGACCCTATTTTGAAATTGGCATTTTTTTAATTTGCATGAAATTGGCTAAATTGCAAATTTCTGACCACGTTATTGGGTAGTTGAAATTGGTAAATGATCAGTTTCTTGTACTCAATCGATAGAACAAACGGAGTTCTAAAGAAATAGCTACGAGTTTGATCGACTAGAACAATGGAATTAGCTGAAAGTGGACAAAATCACAGATTCGTAAATATCGCCGAGGCCGCTAACTTCACGAGAGTGTAATTCCGTAAGTTTTCCATCAAATTTCATTCTTTTGGTGTCATTACCATCTGGAAAAGATTCTCTATCACTTCATAAGAATTTTTTTTTTTCGAAATTTTTTTTTGACACCAGAAGACACCTCAGGATTTGAGGTTTCGACAGTCAAGGGGTTAAACAAGTGTCATGGCGAAAAAAAAAAAATACTGATGTATAACCTCATACAAGAACAAAAGTACAATGAAATAAAAGTAAATGCAATTTTATCTTTGTTTTGTAAGTGATGTCATGCACTCGAGGAAATATTACTAATACGCTATACATTAATATTCCTTAAATAAACATGCAAATACCTACATCAAGCTTATGAACCTTCCTAAGGAATATAAACCAGAGGGCTTATACTCCTTGGGAAATGTTACATAATTCTAATTTTATGGAACTACAATAGTTATGTAATTGCATATTATTTTCTTTACTTGACAATATAAACATTACAATACTACACATTACATTGGTGTAATAACCCTGTGACTGACTAGAATTTGTTACTGTGACTACCTTTTTAATCATCCTATTATTTCAGTGGCTAAAAGTTATACAGCTGTAGATTCACCATCTACAGTAACATGTTCAGTACATGCACACTCTGAAGACACAGGGCTGACAGCTGAAGGCTCTACAGCCACTGCCTCAACAAATGGTATCTCTGTAGTCACAGGTTTCATAACTTCAGGCTGTGTATCAACTACAATATTACAAGTCATAGCATGTATGACTGCAGATTCACCACAAGTTAAATCAGGATCAATAGACTCACCAGCAGACTCCTTAGCAGTTGAGGCAGACTTGGCATCTTCACTTTTAGACACAACAGCTGAAGATTCAGTAATAGCAGCTTCTTCAACTTGTTTAGGCTTTGCAGGCACTGTTGAATTCATCATGTATAAGTCATCAAATTATAATTATAAAAGTAACAATTGATTTTATAGGTAGTAGTTTGGTAGACAGCAACCACCCAGGGAGGTACTACCGTCCTGCCAAGTGAATGTAAAACAAAAGCCTGTAATTGTTTTACATGATGGTAAGACACTACATGATGGTAGGATTGCTGGTGTCCATTTTTCTATCTCATAAATATGCAAGGTTTCAGGTACAACTTGCTACTTCTACTTACACTTAGGTCACACTACACATACATGTACAAGCATATATGTACACACCCCTCTGGGTTTTCTTCTATTTTCTTTCTAGTTCTTATTCTTATTTATTTCCTCTTATCTCCATGGGGAAGTGGAATAGAATTCTTCCTCCGTAAGCCATGCGTGTTGTAAGAGGCGACTAAAATGCCGGGAGCAAGGGGCTAGTAACCTCTTCTCCTGTATATATTACTAAATGTAAAAGGAGAAACTTTTGTTTTTCCTTTTGGGCCACCCTGCCTTGGTGGGATACGGCCGGTGTGTTGAAAGAAGAAAGAAAGAACAACTGATTTATACAATTTTACAATATTTCTATGAAACATGGATAAGTATTTGGAGTACAAGATTATGTAAAAGTTAAATGTCTCCTTGCAGAAAAGCACTAAGTCTTTTAATGCAATGAAAGAGAATCAATGGTCAGGTCCCCAAATGAAAAAAAAAGAAAAGGGATAAAAAAAAAAAAACACTGAGAAACTAAGAGGATAAAAAAATCAGTTTTGCAACCATTGCAGGAAGCTGACAAGCAAGAGGATTAGTAAAACAAGAGAATAATTGTTTTAATTAAAATTTGCTATGTATTGACATCAAATTATTGCCTATAAGACATAAGCCACATTAAAAAGCTAATGCATACCATATGTAGTGAATAACAAGCTAAATAAGAGCTTGGAGAATTTCTGTAGAGAAAATATCTAGATGAAACTATAAATGCCTATCATACTCATAGAATTTAATGACTTGTTTGAAAAGTTTGCCAATAAGCCATCAACTAAGGTATACAGTAAATCAAAATTAAAAATAAAAGCAAAAATAATCTGCATATTTTTCGTGCCTTTAATAATGCTATGAATATAAAAGATATACACACTATTATTAACAATTTAGTATCATCTCATACACCACATTAAACTTGGTTATCTTTGGCAGTAGCAGGCCATATGCACCACAATGTTATCACTAGTATTATACTTATGTGGAATCTAAGATGGGTTGTGCATGAACAAATTAATTTTCACTACCTTCAACAGGGGTAGGTGGTGCTGAAGCAGGTTTTGTATCAACAGGGGCAGATGGTGCAGCAGCAGATTCTGTATCTATAGGAGCAGCAAGTGGTGTTTCAACTGGAGTTTCTGGTAATGCTTCAGATTCAACATCTGCAGGTGGCTCTGTAATTGTTTCCTCCTCAAATGCAGCAGCCTCCTGCTCTTTTGACTCGACTCCCTTACCAAACTTTAATTTGCCAGGCCCAAAATAAAAATTAACCAACCCACTCTGTTTGGCCTGTAAAAAAAAAAAAAGATACCAAAGATCCTAGAACATCACATCACCAAAGTTGTTGTAAGGAATTTACTGATAGTAGTAACTACTGTTTAATAAGCAAGTATGTAAGACCTTGGACAAGATAAGCATGAGTGTTTTGTTTGCAATTGCGTTATTACAATTTCGTGAGTTAAGATCAGATTTCTTTGGATTTTTAACCCAGAGGGTTAGTCACCCACAATAACCCAAGAAAATCAATGTCATCAAGGATGGTGTCTTATTTCCATCGGGGTCCTTTAATCATGTCCCCTAGGATGCAACCAACAAAAATCTACTAACACCCAAGTACCTACTAACTGCTAGGTGAACAGGGATAGCAGGTGTAAGGAAACATGCCCAGCATTTCCACCCATGTCAGGGATCAAGCTACGGACACACAGTGTGGGGGTAAAGTGTCGCCAACCAAGCCAAGGGGACAGTGTTACAGTAACAATCATACAAATTACTACTGCCAACTGTAGCAAATTTAAAAAAAAAATTAACCTCCTTTACCCCCCCCTACTTGCAAGAACACACTTTCTATTTTAATTTATTAATTACAGTGAAACTTGGGGAAAATTTAAAGAATGCTTGAGCAACCTTTATGTAATCAATTAATATCCAGTGGGTGCTTCTGTGTCAATCTACCTGTAGTTGAAATTGTTTTGCTGTCATTGCAAAATAATGAGCCATTCAATAATCCAACCTTTTTTTTTTGGTTTCTGAAGCAATTAGCTCTACAAATTTTGTCCTATATTTCCAAAAAACTGTAGTGTAAAGCACCCTTCTGGCAAGACAGTGATGGAGTGAATGATGGTGAAAGTTTTTCTTTTTCGGGCCACCCTGCCTTGGTGGGAATCGGCCAGTGTGTTAAAAAAAAAAAAAAAAAAAAAAAAAAAAATCCAATATTTTCTAAAGCATGGCTGTGCTGTATTTTTTATGAGGACCAAGGAGGAGACTAAGAGATCTCAACAATAAACCACTAAATGAAGGTAGTGCAATAAATACTCTAGAAATAAGTATAGTAAACAGCTAGAATGAGAGCACAGAGGAAGTACATACAGCCACTAGAAACTTGACATTACATGATGTGGAATGCGTTAAGCGAAGTGTGCAGAAAGTGTAATGGTGTTTTAATTGTATTGTTGCACCTACAAAGGTATCAAGACTACCTGGCTATTTTTCATAGTCTTTCATAAACATACAAAAAGTTTTTAACCCTTTGACTGTTTCGGTCGTATATATACGTCTTACGAGCCACCGTGTTTGATGTATATATACTCATAAATTCTAGTGGCTTCAAATCAAGCAGGAGAAAGCTGGTAGGCCCACATGTGAGAGAATGGGTCTGTGTGGTCAGTGTGCACCATATAAAAAAATCCTGCAGCATGCAGTGCATAATGAGAAAAAAAAAAACTCCAACCGTTTTTTTTTTAATTAAAATTCAGACTTGGTGGTTTATTTTAGTATAGTATTTATGGTTGTATTCTCGTTTTCTTGGTCTCATTTGATAGAATGAAAAACATATTATAGAAATAGAGGTGATTTTGATTGGTTTTACTATGAAAAGAACCTTGAAATGGAGCTCAAAGTAGGGGAAATGTTTGATGTTTGCAGATGCTCAAAAGTAAACAAATGATGTCATTTTCCAATAAATGTCCAAGTAGCCATTCTAATATGCAGTCACGAATGGTTTGACATTATTTATATAATTATTACAATATTGCAGTAGTCTGCATAAAAGTAAATCTTCTATTTTTTGTTTGAATAAAAATTCAAAATAGAAAGCAAGAGCAATATCAGAGGGGCCTGGAGATGTGACTGATGAACAAAGAAAATGTTATTTTAGAGCCAGGAATGTCTGCATTGTTCATTCTGGTCCTTATTTTGAAATTGTCATATTTTTTAATTTTCGTGAAATTGGCCAAATTGCAAATTTCTGATCACGTTATTGGGTAGTTGAAATTGGTAAATGGGCAGTTTCTTTTACTCAATCGATAGAAAAAATGGAGTTCTAAAGAAATAGCTATGAGTGGTCAACTGGAACAATGGAATTAGCAGAAAATAGGGCTCAAACCGGGCGAAATCGCCAATTTGTAAATATCGCCGAGGTCGCTAACTTCGCGAGGCATAATTCCATCAGTTTTCCATCAAATTTCGTTCTTTTGGTGTCATTACAATTGGGAAAAGATTCTCTATCATTTCATAAGAAAAAATTTTTTTTTTCTTTTTTGGAAATTTTGCGACACCAGGAGACACCTCAGGATTTGGGGTTGTGACAGTCAAGGGGTTAAGGTTCCTAATCAGTGTCATTGAACATTACTAAAACACCAACAAAACTCGTAATGTGTAGATAAATGGTTCAGAGAACTGGAAAGCCGATAAAATACACACATGGTAACGGTTCGCCACACAGCGGCATCATCAGTCCTATATAAAGAACAACAATCACGATCAGGAGGAATTTGAAGCAATCAGTCCCTCAGCCTGAAGTTTATGTAATCAGTCTATCAAGATTGATTGACAGACAGATTACATCAACTACAGGCTGAGGGACTGATTACATCAACTCCAGGCTGAGGGACTGATTACATCAACTCCAGGCTGAGGGACTGATTACATCAACTACAGGCTGAGGGACTGATTACATGAACTCCAGGCTGAGGGACTGATTACATCAACTCCAGGCTGAGGGACTGATTACATGAACTACAGGCTGAGGGACTGATTACATGAACTACAGGCTGAGGGACTGATTACATGAACTCCAGGCTGAGGGACTGATTACATCAACTCCAGGCTGAGGGACTGATTAAATCAACCCCAGGTTGAGGGACTGATTACCTCAAACTCCTCCTGATCTTCACCATTCTATGTACTGGACTGAAGAAACCACTGTGTGACGAAACGTTTCCACAATAAAGATACCCAAATTTTGCACATGTTTCTGATTTAACAAAACTCATACTCACTGCAAAAAGAGTAAACCCGGCAAAGCCAAGGCCTACTGCCAACTGCAAATTGTATTTCTTCTGCATACGTTCATGGCGCTTGGCCCAGGAGCCTTGTGGTTGTGGCAAGTCATTCATCGTCATCGGCTTCTTGGAAGCGTTGGAATACCCTCTATCACAGTGTGCTGAAAGGATCATTATAGTAACTGTTACTTCTGCACATTTTTTTTTTAACCCTTAAACTATCCAAAGAGATCTACGTTCACATGCATAGTGCTCCAAAAGTAGATCTACGTTTTTTTTTACATATTTTCAAATATAACAAAAGAAAAGTAGATCCAAGTTTTTTTACACGTTTTCAAATGTAAAAAAAGAAAAAGAAGCACTATGTATTTTTACATACTTTCAAATGCTGAAAAAACGTAGATCTACGTTTGGACAGTTTAAGGGTTAAACGAGTTGTAGACCTTAATTAAGAACAACTTCACCAGCATCAAGGCACCTCCTCTGAATTTCATATTAATATAAATTACTTCATATATATACATACCAGTCAGCTGACTCTAGTTATTCCCATGCCGGTTCAGCCTCGTACATTACACCAAATACGAAACTTATCCCCTAGCTCAGTCATGAGGTTCATTTTAACACATTCATACAATACTCACATCTGTTAATACCCCGAGCTTTGCCATGCCTAGCAACCCTGGAGGAAGGCTGAGCAATCCGTGAGGCCAGACTACCACAGCGGAACATCTTGTTTCTGGCTGCTGCTGGAGTGGACGGACCCTGGGTGGAGGGGGGGGACCTCACCACCACTAACACTGTTCCAATAATCAAATTCCTACACACACGAACACACATTCCATGTATATTTGATCTATGAGCTTTTTAATCTATTTTACACGTTACAAATGCTTTTAACTATTATTTGAAAGTAATCTGAATATACAGAACGTTTTCAGCTTAAGATTGGTCTGCCTAAAGCAGCTTATAAAATTATTATTAATATTTAATTCGACCCATACACTAAAAACGACAATACACGGCTTTTATTAAGTAATTTGCTGTTATATTAAATAAACTGAGAGTTCAAATATTTCATAAATACAATAAAATGGGCTATATTTACATCATTTTAAAAGACATTTCTCCAAGGCCAAGAAAGAATCTATGAAACGCACATAAGGACAATTTTTTACCGTTACAATGGTACCCCCAAAGTACATATAAATATCTATTAAAAACTGAAATAAAATACTAATTTCTCCATAAGCTTACAAAAAAATTCAGCTTGTCTGTCATTTATCGCTATAAATTATACTAGATTCCTTAAATGCAAAGAAACGAATGAGTTTTGAGCAGAAATTTACTACTACTACTACTACTAATAATAATAATAATATATTATCTTTATTTACTACAAGTACATGTACAAGGTATACAGTCCTAGTTGACATTAATGACATACTATTATATAAAAAGCCCCTTGTTATGCTGAGCATTTCGGGCAAATTAGGTCCTTGTCCCAGGATGCGACCCACACCAGTCAACACCCAGGTACCCGTTTTACTGATGGGTGAATATAGACAACCGAAGTAAAGAAACACTCCCAATGTTTCTATCCTCGCTGGGACTCGAACGCAGTCTCATCGTGTGAAGCGAGAGCTTTAGTCACCAGGCCACGGGTAAATAGAGATACGTTCTGTTGGCATTTAAGAAACTGTTGAACATTGTTCTCATTCTGTGGAAATTATTTAATTTCCGAAGCTATAGTGCCTAATGAGTGTTTAATGTGTTGATTTGGGTCAAAATGTATTTGTATTTTGAATGGAACCAACTGGGTTCCCGCTGCGCCTGCGCAGATGTGCGGGGGTATAGGTCGAGCTGGGGCACGAGGGGGCGGCAGTGTTTTGAATGGGTTTAAGAGGCTGTGAAACATGGGACCAGGAAATTGGCGTTCACGGCGGCCTACGGATTAATATAGGCCTCATTTCATAATAGGAAGTGTCGTAACTGTTCCTGGTGGAGAGTGAGGGAACATGATTTACGGGACCACCGTAATAGAGTGGTAAAATGAATGAATAAGGGTAGGACCGGTGGTGACTGGCGCGTCGCCATGGACTGGGTCCCGGGGAAAATTACCCTTGTTAGTTTAATATGTTTATTATGCACCCCATACCCATCCTGTGGGCGGTAGTCAAAAGATTACAGAGGTACATAATTGGTCCAGGGACTGGACTCCAAAGTTTTGATAGCTGAGCAAGTTACAGAGGTAATGAATTCACAATTTACAAAGGTAATGAACTCACAATTTACAAAGGTAATGAACTCCAGGTAGGTCTAGTCACAATCATGACAAGTTACAAAGGTATTTACAGATTACAGAGGTACGTAATGGGTCCAGGGACTGGGCTTCCAAAGTTGTGATGGCTGAACTAGGTACAAGGTAATGAATTCACAAGTTACAAAGGTAATGAATCCTGTAAGAATGGTTATTTACGTTTATATATGGCTACAATCATGGTTTAATCATCACTCATCGGTCTCAGGTCTTAATGGAGTGATCTCTAATGTGTATAATAATTATGAGACATTAAATCGTCTTGTGAATTGTAATGTAATTAATGACAATAACGCTAAGTTAAGAGAATGCGTGAAGTGAAATAAGTCGCCTTGCTCCGAGTGAACACGCTAGACCACGTTGTGTCCGTCCCGAGGAAAGTGAAGTTTATTGAGTCACGACTGCTAAACCGGAACAAACCAATGGATACCTCGTCCTGCTGGAATAAGAACCGTGTCGGTGTAGCAGGACATCGAAATGAGATGGTGAATGGAGGAAATAAGGAGTATCAATCACCCATAGTTAAGTAATCCTTCTAGTTATAGCAGACTGATACTGGCCAGTTAGGTATGTTGTAATTGGATAGGTTATGGGTGATCCAGCTACATCAAGTGACCATCAGAGAATATCTGGTAAGTGGTGGGATTATACAAATGTTTTTTCTTTGATGGATATATCAATGTGTAACCTACCCCTCCCCCCTTCATTCAGTTACACTAATATAATCTATACAGTCCACAATTAATTAGTAGCACCATACTTGTGGGTGCTATCCAATCTATACTGGTCTCGGATAGATATGGATAAGATTGTGAGGTCGAAGGCCCACCACCAGTGACCAGGGGTGGTGAAGTTTTCTCACATATCTACACGGGGTGACTACGGTAAACAATATAGGGTTGTTTCCCAATGAGATTATTTGTATGTATATAATGTTGAGGTACATACAGGTAATCACCCTAGAAAATTTTCCATATCTGCCCGCTGGTCCTTCCTGAACCGGATGCAATCAGTGAAAAATTAATTGAATTAATTACTTAGTAATTAAGTGACTGATTGAAGAAAGTGGGTATAGGGTACACAAATTTAATCGGTCGTGCGGTGGATGATAATTAGCCCAATTAATTACTAGCACATGGGTGGCTAGGATTTATACAAGAGTAAAGTGCAAGAAATACTCTCACAAGGTGTCTACTTAAGTTGTATAATTGGTGATTATTGATTCCCTAACCATGGCTGGGTCTGAGGAAGTTAGTGCGGCTGGCAAGTCCATGGATGCCGAAGCAAAGAAAGCGTCACTACAAGCTCGGAAGGGTCACGTTACTAAATCATACAAGTGTATGGAGTTAATGAGACAAGAAACGGTAAACCCTGATGAATTAAAGCTACACCTAGATGCCTTAGAAAGTAGATATGAGTCATATAAATTGTGGTATAAGGACTGTGAGAGCGATCTTCTGGTGAATTGTGCAGATGATGCTGAAAGGGAGCGGCTGCTGGATCAATATTATGAAGTGGAGGACAACATTGTGTCCTGCAAAACTAAGGCTTTAGAGAAGGTAAAGGGTGTAAACAATGTTGTTGGTCAACCTAGTAAGGAAAATCTACCAAAACTCCCAGAATTATGCATACCTGTGTTTAATCTGGGAGAAAACTGGGAGGAGTTTTGGTCTATCTTTAAAGCAGTCGTACATGATAGGAGTGATCTTGCAAGTGTTACCAAATTATGCTATTTAAAGGGACAAGTAAGGGGAGATGCGCATGTTCTCATACAAGCATTCCCAAATGTAGATGACTCCTATAGTGAGGCAGTTGACTTGTTGGAGGTCACTTACGGTAACTTGGAGCAAAGTAGGCTGGATCTAGTAGCTAATTTGGCTAGTTTGAAGACTCCAGATCACAACCGCAACAGCTTACAGCAATTTAGGATCAAACTAGAAAGCACTCTTAAGACCTTAAGTAATAAATATGATCTGGAGGGAGCAGAGTGGTTGTTGAGTGCCTTGATTCAGAATAAATTGAACCACAAGACAGTAGAGTGGCTATCTAACAGATATCACAAGGGTTACTTCGGGTTGGAAGAAATAAGAGTGGGCCTGCAGGAGCTAACTGTCCAACTGCAGACCAGCCAACCCATTACCTCTAGGAATACCACGTCTACAGACTCCAGTGCACCTGTCAAGTTCCACAAAAGGAAACTTTATCCCAATATCAATAATCATAAGTCACCTACTAAACGGGGTTACGTAGGCACATATCAAGTGACAGGGGCCAGTAATAGTGGTTCTCCACATCAAAGCAAGAGGAGGAAGTACCACAATAAGGGTAGCCCAGTTGATAAGAGGTCAGGCAAAGAAAGGAGAGATTGTATCTTCTGCAACGGTACTCATTTCTCTAAGAACTGTAATGCCTATAATTCATGTGATGTTAAAGTGGAAAGATTGGAAGAGCTTGCTAGATGTATCAGGTGTCTAGGAAATCTTAATGTAAGGGATTGCCGTGCTAACTTGCACCATTGTTATAAGTGTAACAAGGGAAGACATCACATAGCTATGTGTAAGGGCGGATCTAATCGTAATGATGGTAACAATAGTACTGATAGTGATAATAACCCGGACACAACAGTAGCCAACGTAAAGATTGCAGCTAATGTCGGTAATGATGGCCTAGCTGAGGTAGCTTTACCTGTGTTGGATGTGGTGATTAATGATAAACGACGAAAATCCAAAACTGTAACAGCATTACTGGATCAGGGATCACAACGTACCTTCATAAAACGTAATTGCCTTAATGGGATGAAGGTACAAATGGGAGATCCTGCTATACTCAAGTTATCTGGCTTTCTCTCGAATAAGAAGGCCCAGTCATACGACACTGTTTATGTAACTGTCAGGCTGGGCAATGAGAGAAAACGTATTAATGCCGTAATTGTGGATAGGCTCCCAGAGAAAATATCTACAATAGGGCTTGGTAACGCTACTGAAAGGCTTTCAAGTAAGGTAAATTTGGCACCTTCTGGTGTAAATAATGATTCTGTGGGGCCAATAGATATTTTGATAGGTAGTGACCATTATGCCACCTTTGTAAAGGGTATGACAAAGAAATGCGGAGTCACCCTTCTAAGGACCGCAGGAGGTCACGTGATGTATGTCAGGCTTCGACGTACTGATAATGAATGACTGGAGGAAACCATAAATACAGTTATGGTGTGTCTTACTCATGAAATATCACCTCAGTATAAATATACTTCAATAGAGGATGAAGTTGAACCTGTGTATAAATTATGGGAATTGAAAGTCCAGATGATTCCTTTACTCAAGAACAATACCAGAAGGATGTTAAATTTGAATCTGGACAATACTGGGTGAGACTTCCGTGGAAGCTGAACCATCCAGACCTACCAACTAATTACCGGATGGCGTATGGACAATTAAAGGCTCATTGTTCGCATCGCTGTTGGGCCGTGCGGACGCACTGCGCAGT